GAACGCACGAACCGATTTCCACGGTTTTGCATTCGTTGGAAAGGTCTCGGGCTCCGTGAGGTTTATAGCAAAGAAAATTCAGGAAAAATTTCAACAGAAAAGCAGAAAGGGGGTAAAACGGGATCCACGCGTACGAAGTCGCGGGCGGCCGCTAGTTATGTATAAAAACCCTAAACCTAAGCTGTGTGTCTGCTGTACTTTTGTACAGTAAAATTATTATCTTATAAATTGTATTCGAATCTATTTAATAATATTTTTACGATGATAGTTTGTTGTTATACCTTAATGAAATAATATGCGGAATATTAACAAAATAGATAAAAGGTGTATGGTTTTGGTTATAAAAACGTATTAATTCCGAAAAAATAACATTTTCAGGGATTTTGAGGGATTTTAGAGCTCATTAAAATTCATGCATTGATTTTCATTTATCATACCCGATTGTTGATAATCATGACGCTTGTCATCTAGATAGTCCTGCGCATCGCCGACGGTGGATCCTTCCACGTCGACGTGCTCCGAGCTCAGGTTGCTATCCCGATCCTCCTCATCCGTCTCACAATGCACTTCACTGTCTGAATTGTTTTTAAAATAACCCGTTCCACTGGTCGAAGCATGAGCATCTTCATTTGTTTCTTTTACACTGTCAGCCTTGTCGAACTTATCAGCCAGCAGACTCTCAATCGAAAACGGCAGCTTTGCATCGCTTTTCTCTACCTTCGCTTCCGCATCAACGTCATCTACATCCATTGCAGTATCAGATGGATTCATTTTTTGGATTCACTTCCCAACGTCTGCACTTTGCGAAGTCCAACGATCATTTCGGAGTAGCTACCTCACTTTTTCGTAGCACCACCAAATTTACCGACTACTAACTCACGCGCAACAATAATTTAGACTAATTTGAAACCTTAACGGTGCGTTTTTGTCAAATCGTACCGCTGAAACGACTGTGAGACGAAGAATGTTAACTGCCTCTTCTGAAAAACATATTCGCTGTGAATCTGATCTATTGCATCTTCATCCCTCGGGATAAGATTCAAAATTGCGCGCGTTGGAAATCTTGACTGACTGATTTGAATGAAGATGGAGAGCCTCGACTAATGGGCGTCTTTTCTGGATGACAATTTGGTATAACGCTTTTAAATGCATCTCATTCAAAATTCAATCTCATTTCCCAAAGTTTAGAGTTGAAATTAGCTTGGGTGTCGTTAAACGATGCAAATAGCTCCAGAGGGCTCTGATCCAAGATATAATTAGAGTTAAACCAATCAGAGTGTAGTGGGCGTGTTCGGACGGATGCGCCCGCGTCACTTAGTAGATCAAATTGGGATTTATTTATACCGGGTGAGATATGTGCGCGTTCATTAATCGTGATAATTATTTAGTTAGTTCGTTTAATTGGACGCGTCACGTGTTTGGGATAGGGCTGGAAGCGAGACGGATTTATAAGAGGCTCGTTTAATAGATTTATTAGTTTAATTGCTTCAGTGTTGAGGTTTGCTAGTTGGGATACGATTTTGTAAGCACATAACGATTAAGGGGGCCTTTATATAGGTGTAGGTATTGTTTAATCAATCACTGATGGTTTTATTTGTGTAATCTGGTTATAATAACATTCTTGCTTTAGTCTTTTACACTTCAATTTTACTTTTGATTAGATTTATTTTTAACCGACTTTAAAAAAGGTGAAATTACGTTGTAATCTTTATTTGTGCATGCTCTTTTTTAGTCTTCTGAGGTCTTTCCAACCTCCGATGAAGGATTTTTACATGAAATTGATTCACTAGTTTTTCAGAATATTGAAAATACGCAGTCGCAATATTGATTTTGTCAATTTATCTTCGAGAGTTTTTAACTAATCTCGGCACTCTTTGTTTGTGTGATATCAAAGTTTCGAGATAGTTGTCTGAAGCGCATTTGCAAGATTTGATATTTTTTGAGCCAACCAACCGTTTTTTGGAATATTTATGGTAGAATTGAATAATTCGTACTTTGATTGCCTGAAAGTAAGGGATGCACTATTTTTATTTTTCAAATATTCCTAATACCTAATTTGAAAAGTTAAAATTGCCTAACGCGGGAATCTAATCCACGACCCTTTGCTTTTACTTTCGCTTGCCGCTTCGATTTCCATCCCAACTTACGCAATTCGATTTTTCAAGTTTGAGATGCAGACTTTTAAGAATCAAATCTGAATTAATTATCAGGTATTTCTGTAAATTGTATAAGCAAGTAGGTAAGTAGGTAAATTGTAAAAACATCGAACAAAATGATTCAAGCTTTATTCACGTTGTTTCCTTAAAGTTTACCTTATTTATTATTCCACTAATACATCCAAAGCAATCAGTAAACCATTTCGTCCAAAACTAACGTCTACATAAATTAATAGCACGAACGAATGTTAGCAATAATTAAACCAATAAATAACAGAAAAACACGAACTTGCTGCCTTTAAGGATAACCGACATATTTTTTCTTTATTAGAGGCGCTTATTTTTTGTCCGCCATTTTTTCAGCTAGTGATTGATGCGCTCGTGGTGTTTCGATTTGGTAGAGAACGGGAGCGCAATATTTTTCTATGGGTTCCGTATTTGGAAATTTAACAATAGTAAACAAACTGTTGCATCTCTTTTAGTTGTAGGCACTCGTAATAGGTGCCAATTTTGCAATTTGATTTATTTTATTTTATAATATGATGTAATAATTTAATATCGGTTTTTACGACATTTTTTAATAGTTAACCAGATTTTAATGAAATTTTATTCATGGTGAAATGATAAACTATAATTACTTTCGTCTTCGTCTGAGCTGAAATATTTTGTGATCTAAACAACAATTTGCTGTTGCATAACATTATGCTTAATAAGGAATTAATAATTAATTTCAAGTAGGTAGGTAAGTACATTTTAGATACTCCTACTTCTCTCTCCCACCACTGCAACTCCTTTAAAGCCAGAATCTACAGTTTGTCCTTCAATGAAATCCAAGTGGTGAAGATTGAGTACCCTCGAGGGATATTACTGTCTTGCCCAACTAGACAAGTGTTTTTATGCACTTTTTATTCGCATTGAAAATCAAATTCCTTAACAGAGCAAAATAAAAAACGCAGGAGAGAGGGCTTTTGGAAATCACTACTGTCACGTTCTGCTACTTGTCCAGGGGAGCTGGAAGTGCTGGAACCCGTTAATCAGGAGTTCAGATATAAAGCCCAGTAAAATAACGCGTTGTACTACTCGCCAGGGGTTCTCACTCACACCACGGAACTCTAACAAGGAAATTAATATTTGACAAGTCCGCACCGGGACCGTTTCCGCATACTTGGCTATGGCATTCGACCTTTCAACTTGCACCGCTAAATCGTTTCGGTATGCGCGTGAGCATCAACATTTTACACGTGTAGGGGAGGGCGGCCCGTTAATTGGGTGATTTCTGGCGCTTAAATGTTTTTGAAATTGGAATAGTTTGATTTAAGCGTCCAAAAATAAAGGCTGGCTGTTTATTTCGCAAGAGAAAAAAATGCGTGAATGTTTCCCATTAGAGCATGATGACGTCTGTGTAACTTCTTTTTTTTATCCACAACGAGGAAGCTCTAAGCCTACATCTCACCTGATGGAAAGTGATCATCAGGCCGAAGGCGGAAGCGAGCTTCATCAATCCTCAACCACAGAGGAACTGGCTATCTTACCTCTAGGTAACTGTCGGAACACAACAATGCTGTTGCTATTTAGTTTGTTACAATTTAAACGAAATAAAATGTAAACGGGACTATTCCCACCTCTCGTTCCCACCGCTGCAACTCCTGTGTAGCCAGTATCTACAACGTGACCACCAATAAAAAACCCAACTAGTGAAGGTCAAGTTTGGACCCGCAACGAATTTAATCAGAAAAAATATAGGAGGAGTTCGATGTTGTTACCGAGATAGTACATTGATTAAAGTATCAGCTAAAGTATCAGCCTGTACATTATGAGCACGGTGCATCTAGGCCATTTGAGACAGCTGAAGCGCAGGAATTCTTTGGAAAACATAGAGATGCAAAATATTTATGATCCGGAACCGCCTGCCTTACTCGCATAACTTGGAGTTTTTATACACAATGAAGGAGAAAGAAAAACTTCAAGAATTTATTAATGAAGTCGTGTTAAGTACCTTGCTTCTTAACAGCTTGTTGATTGTGGTTTTACTGAGGATTCCAGAGTCAGGAATGCTCTAATAAGATGGGGTTTATTTAGAACGCACACGAGTGTTATCATCCCATTCTGTGAAAAACAAAGCTTATTTACAATAATAATTATTATGACCCCTAAGATATTCAGAATGGGAATCGAACCCGGAACCTCTGGGTCTGAAGCAGGTGGTCTTACTACTAGACCACATTATTTTTTTAACGCGGAGTCTTACACTCCCGTCACCACGAAACTTGTGCCTTAAGATCGATGATCAGAGTATGTAACGTGATATTTAATTCCAGATGATGTAAAAAGACCTGGATAATTAAATGAAATAGTACTAGCTATGTATCTTTTTTTAATTTGTTCGTTAGTTTCTGCCTTTTTAATAAAAAAAAAGATTAGATGATTGTATTAAAATATTCTCAAATCTACTTTGAAATTACAAGATTTTCATATTTTTTCTATCTCATAAGCAAAAATGTAATTTTGTTACTTAATATCATTTAGCAGGAAGTCTTCATACATGACAAAGGAAGTCTTCTTGACAATTTCTAAAAACTTCTCTCTTTCTTAAATTTTAGTAGTTTTATTTCTTTCTTATGACTCGCACTCATTGTAATTATTGCATTGACCATTATTTAAAACTACTTATGCCACTGTTGTATTGTAATGAAAACATTGTATTTCGATTCTCCATTACGTAAAAATAAGCTTGGTTGTTTCAAATTGATTTTTAAGTAGGTATTATGTATGATTTATGAATGTTAGTTTTTTTGACAGCAAATTCTGTGTTGGTCACACTGAAGCCAGCTGTCATTAGGTTTTTGACGTGTCGGCGATCGGTGGCCGTGGTTTCGTGATTCGTCGACGAATTCCCAATTATTCAATTATAACACAAATATTCACAATAACAATTTCACAATATCCTGTTGCTGTATTTCTAGTGCGTCTATTGTGTTGTAAAGTCCCAAAAATCTACGTGCTTGCGCACAAAACCGTTCATCTCTCGACTGTTTGAGAGCAATAAATATTTGTGTAAAATATTCGTGTCTGAGTATTCTGTGAGATGTTTACTGTTTGTGATTTGGCTGGACGTATCACAGAGTCATACGTGTACTGGCCATGGACGTGGTTTTGACGGAATACCTGTGAAATCTCGTTAGTTAGTCGGACTAGTAACTGTCAAGATGCGCGTAAATATTCGTAGGTTGACGGTCGCTGGAGCACTTATGGTGGTGTTCTGGCTGGCTGTGATGTACTCCTCGGTCATAGACGTGCCTGGGGCTCTCTCCAGCAAGAACAGTGTCCAGGATATAGAGAACAGGATAGATAATCTCCAGAAACAGGTGGAGCAGCAAATGACTGAGAGTAATCTGCTTTTAGCAAGAGTTAAAGAACACTTGAAGGCCAAATCTCAAGCGAAGGAGGAAGGCAAGGATATAAAGGACAACAATGTGGAGTATTCACTGAGTAAGTACTATTTTGGTGCTATTTTTTTTTTTTTTTTTTCCATATAAATTTTACGGCTTTGGATAAATATCCATACGGCCAAATCTTTCTTGTAATGCACTGTGTTTGGTAAAACATCTCAGTGTTTGGTTCTATGTTCTTCTGTGCGTCTGTGTCTATTTTGTTCTAAGTCTTCATTGTGGTCTTCATAGTTCTATTGATGTACTAGTAATGTACTGGTAAATATGGAGATATGAATTTTCGTTGGCTAGTAAGGATGGCAAGAGGCGGGGAATATTTCCATCTTGGTATGTCTTTAGTAAGCCACCCACTAGCAGTAGCCTCTCCATTTTAAAGGCTGGACATTGTAGGATCATATGGTCTAGGTCTGCAGCGTCAGTCTGACAATATTCGCATTTGTCTGTAGAGACCATTCTCATCCTTTTTAAGTGGGCTGGAAATTTTGCATGTCCAAGCCTTAAACGATTTATTGTGGTTATGAATCTTCTTGAAGTAGTACTCTGCAGTTTGAAGTACCACGGTTTACTTGGAATTCCTTGCTGGATTTGCGAATACCATTTTCCTTTTGTTTGTTTTGTAATATTCCATACTTCCTCCCAATTGTCTTTCATCCTAGTTTTCAGAATCGAGTCATAATCGGTAATAGGTACTGGCGGAGCTGGATAAAGTGGATTGTGGTATGGATTTCGTATCTTCATAAGTTTGTCTACAGTTTCATTTCCAGTTATCCCAGAATGAGAGGGAACCCACATAAATTCAATATTCTTGTTATTCTGACTTTCCAATATTATTTGTCTTATTTTGGTTATTGTACAGTCTTTATATGAGTGCGACTCAGAGCAAATAGAGCAAACAACATTGCGCTTACAGAATTTAGTTGTGTGACCGAAGCCAAGACACTTGAAACATTGTAACACAGGTTTAATATATTCTTCCACAGGGAGTATGCATAGACCATAACTTACTTGCTCAGGTAGAACATTACCAGCAAAGGTGACTGAGACGGTCTGCAAAGGGACGACACCTTCAGGGGTCCTCTTGGTGAATCTTCTCACAGCCAAGATCTCCTGCGAACTGATCAATTTGTCAAAAAGATGCCGGTTGCTCAATTCAGTTGGAATGAATTTGATTACTCCTGTTCGCTCTGAGTTGGAGGCAGGAATGAATGCCTTGATTTCGTGAGATGATAGAAAGGCCGAATTAGACAGTAAAGAGTTGGCGTTTTTCGGGTTATCGAAATATACAGCATACCGCAATGCATTGATTCGTTTGATTTCCTTAACACCTTTGTTGTATCTACTGAATATTGTGTTTAAGTAAATAGGATCTTTATTTCCAAATTTAATGTCATCATGAATGCTCTGAATAAAAACTGGATATACTGTCCCTGGAGAGTTCTCGGGATAACTCCGGATGTGATTCTTTTTGAAGTATGGAGCATATTTTCTGTCATCATCATCATCAGAAAGTTCACCAGTTGATGTCTTGTTTAACTTTCTTTTTTTCTGAGAATTAGCAGATCCACCACTATCGGAACCCATAGTTGCAGTTATAACTGAAATTCCCTTTAGATAAACTCAATTAACTCAAATTAAAAATCGCAGCGAAAAAAATTGAACCTCCCGCCTCGAAAGTTCATTTTGGTGCTATTATTTTTAATAATAAATTGACAATGAGTCAAATTTTTTCTGATTTTCTAAAGGTCAAAGATTTTCTAAAGGTTATGAGATTTAGACCCAGTTGCATGTCCCATGTAACTGAGTCAACAATAAATTTGTCTGTAGATGACCATGAAATTTTATAAATATTGTATAAAATTGATATTGATAGGTTATCAATGGAAATTTCAATCTAAACTTGATAAGTTTTATTTCCTCGTTTCATTGATGTAGTAAGCCGTGCTATTTTGTAATTTGTTAAATACATTGGGTTAACCAGAAGAATATTAAACGAAACAAACTTTTAAGAGGCTATTTCTTGAAATCCCAACTAATATTATAAATGCGAAAGTAACTCTGTCTGTCTGTCTGTCTGTCTGTCTGTCTGTCTGTTACGCTTTCCCGCTTAAACCTCGCAACCGATTTTGATGAAATTTGGCATAGAGATAGTTTGAGTCCCGGGAAAGAACATAGGATAGTTTTTATCCCGGTTTTTGAAACAGGGACGCGCGCGATAAAGTTTTTCTGTGACAGACAAAATTCCACGCGGGCGAAGCCGCGGGCGGAAAGCTAGTAATTTCATAAAGAATACTGACATTAATATAGGTTACGGAAAAATTATTTGAACTCTTAATTAGAATTTAATACGTAGAATAAATCTTTAAGAAAAACAGTATGTTTTAATAAAAGAAACCGTTATTAACGCAACTACAGTTTATAATAAAGAGGCCTCCGTCACATCTGTGCAAATGGCTGGTTCAGTGAACCGTGCGATAATCAACTATTGTAATATTTGTTGACATAGTTTTGCGTCAACCGTGATGTATACTTGTAGACCAAAAGCTGTGGACACACTATTTTGTCACCTTTTATTTTGAACTACAAATGAAAATGATAAAACGTTATTAGTGTCCGACCGAATGTTCGGTTTCGGTTTCGTTTTCGGTTGAGTTTCGGTAAAAACACGAGTTTCGGTTTAGTTTCGTTTTCGGCGGCAAACTTGCCGAAACTACGACCGAAACCGAATGTGCATTCGGGAGTTTCCGCGCTGTTATCGGTCATGTTCGGCGCGTTTAATGAGTGAATGAATCCGATCAGAGCCAATGTCGTGATTCGCTCGCTTGTTTGTTTGCTGTTAGTTTTGTTTTGTTATGGTGGCGAGTTTTCGAGTGATTTATTTTGAATTTGGTAAGTTTTATCTCGTTTTACGTCGTTATAACATAAGAGCGGGTAGTAAACATATAATAATAATAAATAAATAATATCCTTAGACATTTTACACTGCGCTTCTAGTCCCAAACTAAGCAAAGCTTGTACTATGGGTACTAGAAAACGGATATAAACATACTTAAATACTTTTTTTTGTAAATACATACTTATTATACATAGAAAACACCCAGTCCAAAACAAACAAATATGTTCATGCACACAAATGTTTGTACTGTGCGGGAATCGAACCCGCTACCTCCGGAATAGTAGTCCGTTTCGAACCACTACACCAAACGGCCGACAACAACAAAAAAAATATTCAATATGACTGGTAAAAGTTTTATCTAACCTAACCCTTAGGTTTTATTAATCTAAGATCTAACCTATAAATTTTTTTTTGGCTCGCCAATGCTATACGTACAAACATTAGTTAGTAATGACTATAGTGCATTTCATGGTGATAATATTATGGATTCAGAGTTTCAAAGTTCATTTTAGTATTATTTATCACCAAGGTATCCAAGTGGCAAGTACAGTAGATACTAACTTACGTACTACCAATTTAGTTTTGAGAAATTATTAAGATAAAAGACCCGACCAAGGGACGAGTTATGTAGATGTCCTGAATATTGCGAGTAATTAAAAAAAATCTAGACTATAAATCCTTCTTTTTCTTTTTTAATACATAATTTGATACCTTTTAGAGTAAAAAGGCGCTTTATAAGTTCAATTTTAATGCAATTTAAAGAGAAAACAATAAAGACTGACTGATTTTAATAATGTTTTCTTTATTTTTCCCTCAAAATATGAGCCTTGTAAGGAAGTTTCGGTTTCGGTTTCGGCCGAAATAGACACCGTTGCTTGCCGAAATTCGTTTTCGGTTTCGGTTTCGGTCGTAAAACTAGTTTCGGTCGGACACTAAACGTTATATCTAGCACTTACGTTGTCTCTTATATTATGCATGTTTACGCTGCATTTCTTAACTAAATGTACAAAATATTTGCATAAGTAAAATGGAAGATTACATAGAGATGCAAACCATTATAAATATGTAATTAATTTATGAAATATTAAAATATGGTGATATTGTGGTACATAAAACACACCTAACTCAAAAATTAAATGCAATTAAAAAAGACTTAATTAAGGACAAAAAAATGCATCAAATTGTATGCACCTGCCTTTATATTAATTTACATGTGCTTTCAAAGTGGTTCATTTAACGGCTTTCAACGTTCACATGTTGACAGAATAATGAATACATTTTGAAACCAAATATAGAGAAAATTGCTGCATTCTTTTGAGCTATATACACTATTTGTCACCATTCCTCAATATTTCAAAATCACAACTTTTTAAAAAGACACTTCATTCTAGCCTTAAAAAAAATACCTGTAAATTAAGATTACATTGCAATTGAAAAAAGTAGCTTGTGTTGCCTACAAAATCTATGGAGTCGCGTTCTGACAGAAAATTTGACAGGCTTTGGTGGACCGGGCATAACTGGGGGTACAACTCTGGGTCCATTCATCATCATCATCTCAGCTATTCAGCCATAGGACGTGCACTGCTGAACGTAGGCCTCCCCCAATGCTTTCCATGTTACCCGGTTGGTAGCGGCCTGCGTCCAGTGCTTTCCTGCTACCTTTATGATGTCGTCGGTCCACGACATGTGTTGGTCGTCACACGCTGCGTTTTCCGGTACGCGGCCTCCACTCCAGAACCTTGCTGCCCCATCGGCCGTCAGTTCTGCGTACTATGTGCCCTGCCCATTGCCACTTCAGCTTGCTAATCCTGGGTCCATTGCTTAGGGCTTAAGTACGGCGCGCTATAGAATTCCAACTATGTATTAGGTACTTTTCAATTCTAATTAATGTTACCGTTACTAGACTCTATTGGTTAACACCACCATAATGGAAATTAAGTTAGACGGTGATAGGTAATTTTCTTTTCTCTTTTAATTCATGAGTGCGATAACAATGTTCAGAGAGATAAGCACCTACACCTGACTTAGTTTCGGAGCGAATCGAAATTATTGGCGCTGTTTCTTATTCAAACTTAGCTCATCAAAATCGCTATCTGACGAAAGCATTTAAACGGGACTATTCCCACCGCTGCAACTCCTGTGTAGCCAGGATCTAAAGCTTGACCGCCAATAAAAACCTAACCAGTAAAGATAAAGTTTGTCCCGGGGAAAAGTTAAACTGTCATTGGACCCGCAACGAAATTAATCAGAAGAACATAGGAGTTCGAAGTTAAGGTTCGATTTCTCTACAGTTGACATAACAAAGGCTATCTGAAGAAAGCTTTTGTAAATCTTATACTAAACTAGCTTTTTCCCGCAGCTTCACACGTAAATTTCGATTTCGTTTCGACTTTATCGCGTACAGCCCTCTTTTAAAAAACCGGGATAAAATCGTTAAATGTTAACTTTGGGTCTGAAATAGATTCCCCGACCAATAAACTCGTTCAATCGAACATAATATTGTCTCGATAACCCAGGTCATGCTGATAATATCCGTCACAAAAGTGGGTGGATGCTATTATCAAAATCAATCGTCACAATAACCAGTTCATTCTCAATTAAACAGCAATTTGTATGTGATTTGATGTTATTTGTAATTTGATCGCGGCCATGTGATGGAAAATCAGTACGAATGCACTGTGATAAGATAGTCAATAAAAACAAAATAAATGACCTCTTGGTCGTTTTGTCTGACGTTTGCTCTGATTTAACTACGAGAATTGTCATAATAAGGAAAACGCGACACAATTTGAATTTTATTGTGACTTAAATAAACAACTTGAAAAAATCGTACAACTAAGGCTATAATATAGTCACTATATCTCTATGTAACCACATAGGCTATGTAAAACCTATCTTGTAAGTAAGCCAATAAGGTCAGAAATGAGGAGATCCATAGCATGACGACAGGGCACCTAGTTTATAGAACTGATAGCCATTGGGACAGAAAAGTTCTATAATATAGAACAGAAAACATAGTGTAAAAAGCGTCCCACTTGATAGACCAGCAATTTGGTGAAGATCGCGGTAAGCACATGGTTGCGGACAGCGCAGAACCTATTGTTGAGGAGATCCTTGCGGAAGTTCTTTATCAGCAAAAGCTGACTGTCGCTAAAATAACTCATTCTTGAATCCGGACCAGTAGGCCTAAGATGCGCGCCGTGATAACTTTTATCGACGTCAAAATGTATGGGGAAAATCGATAAAATGGCTTGATAACCGCTTATCGCGGCGCGCATCTTAGGCCCACAGAAAATGTAGTGTAGGCAGGGCTCCGGTCGAACCGACAATCTGGTGAAAATCGCGGGACTCCCCCAAGAATCTTCACAACAATCGGTCTCTAAGCTGCATCTTTGTTTAACAGACTTAATTGCTACTAACGCCGCACCAACCCAGTTTGGTATCATTACACTTTTTTATTTCTTCCATAAATCAACAGTAGACTTTAGACTTTATTATCAAAACAGTAAAGCACATTGCTCTCTTTGCAGACAACCTCGTGCTCCCAGTTCTGCTCATCGCCTGCGACCGAGTGACCGTCAAGCGCTGCCTGGACAACCTGGTCAAGTTCCGGCCTAATAAGGACATGTTCCCGATCATTGTTAGCCAGGTGAGTTCATATTCCCACATTTCCCACTTCTAGAATGCTTTGTCGCCTGCTAGAGCAGCCGCCGCAAGTGGAACTGGATTGGCCACACTCTCCAAAGGGATCCCGATCACATCCCTAAGCAGGCTCTGGAATGGAACCCCCAAGGAAAACGCAAACGTGGTCGCCCCAAGCAAACTTGGCGGCGCGGCGCACTGTAGCAGACGAGGCGAAGGAAATCGGCAAGACCTGGAGCGAGATCAAACGCGAAGCTCAAGACCGAACGCGATGGAGGACTGTTGTGGACCTCTGCCCCATCTAGGGGACACAGGATCTTAAATCCTGCTAGAGCAGCGATTCCCAAAGTTGCTATCGCCATCTGTCAAGAGTCAAGTGCAAAAAACTATTGGGGGTTTTATGTGATGCAAACTGGACTATTCCCACCTCTCGTTCCCACCGCTGCAACTCCTAGCTAGCCAGGATCTACAGCTTGACCGCCATAAAAACCCAACCAGTGAAGGTCAAGTTTTTCCTGGGGGAAAGTTAAACTGTCATTGGATCCGCAATTAAATTAATCAGAAGAACATAGGAGGAGTTCGAAGTTAACTTCAAACAAAAGTTTAGTAACCTTTGTGAAAAGATTTTAAAATAAAGTTCAATCAAAGCTGTAGTTTAATTATTATCATTTTATTTGTTTAGTCGAGAAGAACTATCTATACGTTGCCGCGTTGTAATGTAGGCTGTTGAATTTTCATTCAAATGCTGCCCCTGAAACATTACAGCATTTCCATAAGTGACGTTATAGGTATACTATGTAGCCATTATAAAAGTGAAACCAGCCAGTTATCTAACGTAATGATAATGCAATATCAGTTTTTATTACACGCATGATAATCGCGGTCGTGCTCGCTTATCAGTCCAATTTGTACCGTTTGAATGTATTAGAGGTGTTTTTTTTGCGAACTATGCGATAACGAAGTAATTCCTTATAGCAAAATGACGTCCACTGCTGAACAAAGCCCCTGCCCCGTACAATCAAACTGTGGAATGGACTGTCGTCTGCGGTGTATCCGGACGGATACGACCTGCAAGCTTTCAAGAAGAGAGCGTATCTTCACCTTAAAGGCCGGCAACGCACCTGTAACGCCCCTGGGTCTGGTCTGGTCTATGGGCGACGGTAATCACTTACCATCAGGTGATCCGTCGGCTCGTTTGCCTCCTGTCACATGAAAAAAAAACAAAGGCTTCAAGGATTTCCATAGCGACCGGTCATGCGCTGCCCGAATCCAGGCACCCCCCGCGACCTTCACCAGATCGTCGGTCCACCTAGTGGGGGGCCTGCCCAAGTGCCCACCCTACGTCTTCCGGCCCGTGCGTGGTCGCCGCTCGAGAATTTTTTAGAGAACGAATTAGTTAGAGCAGTAAAACTTTTTGCCAAATACGATCATCTATCATGAGTAAACTTCTTTATTAATCTATCGTTGTCTAGTACCTACCCATAGTACAAGCTTTGCTTAGTTTGGGACTAGCGGCGCAGTGTAAAATGTCCAAGGATCATCATCATCATCATAATTTCAGCTATAGGACGTCCACTGCTGAACATAGGCCTCCCCCAATGCTTTCCATGTTGATCGATTGTCCAAGAATATTTATTTATTTATTTATATTCTAATCAGAATTAGAATTATCCACCGATACCAATTCGGTAGCTATTGTTAATGTTTATACAATATGTTCAATGTTCATGCTGATTAAGGATTTGTCACACTGCGGTCTGCGGTCAGTTCCCAAAGTGAACATGTATAAACTCATAAAAAGCTCATAAAAAAGCGGTTAATATTCTTTGTATGAAACTCTATACTGCAACGCACACTTATCCGCACCGTAACGTAAACGCCTCGCCTCACGAAAGGTGATGACAGGCTCGCGAAAGGCGATACGGTGTTAATCAATTTCCGAGTTGATAAGTCTGCTATGAGCCTAGCTTAAGCAGGGCCGGTCTTTATGGAAATCCTTGGGGGCGGCCTTTGTCCAGCAGTGGACGTCATTTGGCTTTAACGAATGAACGAGCTTAAGTCGTATACAGTTCACAAACAATCCTCTTTCCAGGACTGCGGCCACAACGCGACCTACCAAGTGATAAAGAGCTTCGCAGACGACGACCCCACCATCACAGTGGTCCAGCAGCCTGACCAGTCGGAGATCCCGCTCCCTCGGGTCAAGGTCAAGTTCCGAGGGTACTACAAGATCGCCAGGCACTACCGGTTCGCGCTCAACCACGTCTTCAAGACTCTGGGGCATGAGGCCGTGATTATTGTCGAAGGTTAGTCCCATCATTAGGTCATTTCAGGTCTTTTAGGAGCACGACCCTCTTATTTACTAGACGCAAATACAGGATTTGGTCTACGCTAGCCAGAAGGATGGGAGTGGGCTGATGTTTGCAACAGGTCATTTAGTCTCCATTGCCCTTGCAGGTCCGTCTTTAAACTACTAGGGGCCCTGGGCACTTAAGGATAAAGGTGAGTCGTTATCATCTGGGAAAAGGTCCTTTGAGCAGATTGGGGCCCCATCGGTCGCGGGGCCCTGGGTATGTGCCCAAAGTGCCCAGTGGGAAAAGGGCCTAACTGCAGGAGTACGACCCTCTCAATTTACTAGAGGCAAATGGAGGATTTGACCTACACTCCCTTAGCCAGACAGTTTGAAGAAGCTGGAAGCTCTAGTCCCACCATCACAGTGGTCCAGCAGCCAGACCAGTCGGAGATCCCGCTCCCTCGGGTCAAGGTCAAGTTCCGAGGGTACTACAAGATCGCCAGGCACTACCGGTTCGCGCTCAACCACGTCTTCAAGACTCTGGGGCATGAGGCGGTGATTATTGTCGAAGGTAAGCGTCATTAGGTCGTAGTCTCCAGTCAGGAGTTATTTACCAAAGACAGAGATTTGGCCTACACTTTCCACGCTGGCCAGACGGAATAGAGAAGTCTGATGTTCACAGTTTTCTACCTTACTCAACCATGTGTTTAAGACTTTGGGGCATGAGGCCGTGATTATTGTCGAAGGTAAGCATCATTGAGTCGTAGTCTCCAGTCAGGAGAACAAATACTCCTTTATTTACCAGAGGCAGAGATTTGGCCTACACTCCACGTTGGCCAGATGGGTTGGAAAGGCCTGATGTTTGCTGTCTTCTTTCTTACAACAAAATAGAGATATACTACCGCTCCGCTCTCAACCACGTCTTCAAGACTCTGGGGCACGAGGCCGTGATTATTGTCGAAGGTTAGTCCCAACTCCCATCACCAGGTCAAGTTTACACTGCAGGAGCAGAGCACGACTCTTGCTAATTTACCTGAGACAAAGGGCGGATTTGGCCTACACTCCCTCATGGTCTGGAGAGACCTGATGGTTGCAGTCTTCTTCCTTACTAAAAGGCCAGGCACTATCAGTTTACACTCAATTGTATCTTCAAGACTTGGAGCATGAGGCCGTGATCATTGTCGAAGGCTAGTCCCATCATTAAGTCATTTCAGGTCCTATTGTCACTGTAGGAGCGCGACCCTCTTATTTACTAGAGCCTTAGCCAGACAGGTTGAAGAAGCTGGAAGCTCTAGTCTCACCATCACAGTGGTCCAGCAGCCAGACCAGTCGGAGATCCCGCTCCCTCGGGTCAAGGTCAAGTTCCGAGGGTACGACAAGATCGCCAGGCACTACCGGTTCGCGCTCAACCACGTCTTCAAGACTCTGGGGCATGAGGCCGTGATCATTGTCGCAGGTTAGTCCCATCATAAGGTCATTTAAGGTCTTTTAGGAGCACGACCCTCTTATTTACTAGAGGCAGATACAGGATTTAGTCTACGCTTGCCAGAAGGATAGGAGTGGGCTGATGTTTGCAACAGGTCATTTAGTCTCCATTGCCCTTGCAGGGCCGTCTTTAAACTACTAGGGGCCCTGAGTACTTAAGGATAAAGGTGAGTCCTTATTATCTGGAAAAAGGTCCTTTGAGCAGATGGGGTCGCGGGGCCCTGGGTATGTGCCCAAAGTGCCCAGTGGGAAAAGGGCCTAACTGGAGCACGACCCTCTCAATTTACTAGAGGCAAATGAAGGATTTGACCTACACTCCCTTAGCCAGACAGGTTGAAGAAGCTGGAAGCTCTAGTCTCACCATCACAGTGGTCCAGCAGCCAGACCAGTCGGAGATCCCGCTCCCTCGGGTCAAGGTCAAGTTCCGAGGGTACTACAAGATCGCCAGGCACTACCGGTTCGCGCTCAACCACGTCTTCAAGACTTTGGGACATGAGGCCGTGATTATTGTGGAAGGTTAGTCCCATCATTAGGTCATTTCAGGTCTCTTAGGAGCACGACCCTCTTATTTACTAGAGGCAAATACAGGATTTAGTCTACGCTAGCCAGAAGGATAGGAGGGGCTGATGTTTGCAACAGGTCATTTAGTCTCCATTGCCCTTGCAGGGCCGTCTTTAAACTACTAGGGGCCCTGGGCACTTAAGGATAAAGGTGAGTCGTTATCATCTGGAAAAAGGTCCTTTGAGCAGATGGGGTCGCGGGGCCCTGGGTATGTGCCCAAAGTGCCCAGTGGGAAAAGGGCCTAACTGGAGCACGACCCTCTCAATTTACTAGAGGCAAATGGAGGATTTGACCTACACTCCCTTAGCCAGACAGTTTGAAGAAGCTGGAAGCTCTAGTCCCACCATCACAGTGGTCCAGCAGCCTGACCAGTCGGAGATCCCGCTCCCTCGGGTCAAGGTCAAGTTCCGAGGGTACTACAAGATCGCCAGGCACTACCGGTTCGCCCTCAACCATGTGTTCAAGACTCTGGGGCATGAGGCGGTGATTATTGTCGAAGGTAAGCGTCATTAGGTCGTAGTCTCCAGTCAGGAGTTATTTACCAAATACAGAGATTTGGCCTACACTTTCCACGCTGGCCAGACGGAATAGAGAAGTCTGATGTTCACAGTTTTCTACCTTACTCAACCATGTGTTCAAGACTTTGGGGCATGAGGCCGTGATCATTGTCGAAGGTTAGTCCCATCATTAGGTCATTTAAGGTCTTTTAGGAGCACGACCCTCTTATTTACTAGAGGCAGATACAGGATTTGGTCTACGGTAGCCAGAAGGATAGGAGTGGGCTGATGTTTGCAACAGGTCATTTAGTCTCCATTGCCCTTGCAGGGCCGTCTTTAAACTACTAGGGGCCCTGGGCACTTAAGGATAAAGGTGAGTCGTTATCATCTGGGAAAAGGTCCTTTGAGCAGATTGGGGCCCCATCGGTCGCGGGGCCCTGGGTATGTGCCCAAAGTGCCCAGTGGGAAAAGGGCCTAACTGGAGCACGACCCTCTCAATTTACTAGAGGCAAATGGAGGATTTGACCTACACTTCCTAAGCCAGACAGTTTGAAGAAGCTGGAAGCTCTAGTCTCACCATCACAGTGGTCCAGCAGCCAGACCAGTCGGAGATCCCGCTCCCTCGGGTCAAGGTCAAGTTCCGAGGGTACTACAAGATCGCCAGGCACTACCGGTTCGCCCTCAACCATGTGTTCAAGACTCTGGGGCATGAGGCGGTGATTATTGTCGAAGGTAAGCGTCATTAGGTCGTAGTCTCCAGTCAGGAGTTATTTACCAAATACAGAGATTTGGCCTACACTTTCCACGCTGGCCAGACGGAATAGAGAAGTCTGATGTTCACAGTTTTCTACCTTACTCAACCATGTGTTCAAGACTTTGGGGCATTAGGCCGTGATTATTGTCGAAGGTAAGCATCATTGAGTCGTAGTCTCCAGTCAGGAGAACAAATACTCCTTTATTTACCAGAGGCAGAGATTTGGCCTACACTCCACGTTGGCCAGATGGGTTGGAAAGGCCTGATGTTTGCTGTCTTCTTTCTTACAACAAAATAGAGATATACTACCGCTCCGCTCTCAACCACGTCTTCAAGACTTTGGGGCATGAGGCCGTGATTATTGTCGAAGGTTAGTCCCGTCATCAGGTCATTTAGTCTTCATTGCCATTGCAGGAGCACGACTCTTGCTTATTTTTGAAGAAAGAAAAAGTGAGGAGGAGACAAAGGGAGGATTTGACCTACACTCCCTCATGGTTTGGAGAGACCTAATGGTTGCAGTCTTCTTCCTTACTAAAAGGCCAGGCACTATCGGTTTACTCTCAATTGTATCTTCAAGACTTGGAGCATGAGGCCGTGATTATTGTCGAAGGTTAGTCCCATCATTAGGTCATTTCAGGTCTCTTAGGAGCACGACCCTCTTATTTACTAGAGGCAAATACAGGATTTAGTCTACGCTTGCCAGAAGGATAGGAGTGGGCTGATGTTTGCAACAGGTCATTTAGTCTCCATTGCCCTTGCAGGTCCGTCTTTAAACTACTAGGGGCCCTGGGCACTTAAGGATAAAGGTGAGTCGTTATCATCTGGAAAAAGGTCCTTTGAGCAGATTGGGGCCCCATCGGTTGCGGGGCCCTGGGTATGTGCCCAAAGTGCCCAGTGGGAAAGGGGCCTAACTGCAGGAACACGACCCTCTCAATTTACTAGAGGCAAATGGAGGATTTGACCTACACTCCCTTAGCCAGACAGGTTGAAGAAGCTGGAAGCTCTAGTCTCACCATCACAGTGGTCCAGCAGCCAGACCAGTCGGAGATCCCGCTCCCTCGGGTCAAGGTCAAGTTCCGAGGGTACTACAAGATCGCCAGGCACTACCGGTTCGCCCTCAAGCATGTGTTCAAGACTCTGGGGCATGAGGCGGTGATTATTGTCGAAGGTAAGCGTCATTAGGTCGTAGTCTCCAATCAGGAGAACAAATACTCCTTTATTTACCAGAGGCAGAGATTTGGCCTACACTCTCCACGTTGGCCAGATGGGTTGGAAAGGCCTGATGTTTGCTGTCTTCTTTCTTACAACAAAATAGAGATATACTACCGCTCCGCTCTCAACCACGTCTTCAAGACTCTGGGGCACGAGGCCGTGATTATTGTCGAAGGTTAGTCCCAACTCCCATCACCAGGTCAAGTTTACACTGCAGGAGGAGCACGACTCTTGCTAATTTACCTGAGACAAAGGGCGGATTTGGTCTACACTCCCTCATGGTCTGGAGAGACCTGATGGTTGCAGTCTTCTTCCTTACTAAAAGGCCAGGCACTATCGGTTTACACTCAATTGTATCTTCAAGACTTGGAGCATGAGTCGAAGGTTAGTTCCATCATCAGGTCATTTAGTCTCCATTGCAGGAGCACAATCCTCTCAATTTACCAGAGGAAAATAGAGCCAGAAGACCTAGTGTGGGCAGGCCTCCTACTACCGATCTGAGCTCAAATGGCTACCTGTTCCTCTACGGCGTAATGCCAGAATTCTCACTACACTTTTTACCATCTTAAACGACCCTAATGCTCCTTCCTATCTGAAATCTCAGTATACTCTTCTAAGTTCAACTCACGTAAGGCAACTTCGTTCCTCCAACAAACTTCTTCTTTCTACCCCATCCCACCGCACTGGTTTCCTCTCCAACTCATTCCTTCTCCAATCTATTCGCCTTTGGAACGCTCTTCCCGAGAACATTAGGCAGGCTCCCAGCAAGTTTGTGTTCAAATACTCTGTGCGCAAGCATTTCCTTGAACGTATCTCGTCGTCTTGATCTCTCTTAAACCTTCTCGTTATCCACCGTATATTATGTATATGCATGTATTTATGTAGGTATATATATATTTTGTATTAATTTATATTATAATATTTTATGTATTATATTGGATTTAATTTTTTGTATTTGTACTATTTTGCACCGCCTACTTAAATTCTCTGTTTTGTTTAATTTTCTGGTTAGCTGGAAGAGAATGCCACATGGCATTAAGCTCGCCTGTTGTACCACTGTATTTTTATGTGTGCAATAAAGATTTTGAATAAATAAATAAATAGGTGGACCGACGATCTGGTGAAGGTCGCGGGAGGTGCCTGGATGCGGGCGGCGCAGGACCGGTTTTTGTGGAAATCCTTGGGGGAGACCTTTGTTCAGCAGTGGACTTCTTTCGGCTGAAACGACGACGAAATGAAGCACGCCGCATGGCCTGAACTCCTTAAGCTGGCCAGACGGGTTAGGGAAATCCTGATGTTCGCATATTTCTGCCTACATTCACAGGTCTCTATTTAGTCCTTCTATACTCTGCCGTTATCCACTTACCACACGGCTATAGGTGGCATTTTATTTGAAATATTTAAAACTGTTTTCTTTCAGATGACCTGGACATATCGCAAGATTTCTTCGAGTACTTCCTCGGCACGTATCCGTTATTGCTCAAAGACCGTAGCCTGTGGTAAGTATATTATATTGCAGTTAGTTTTATTAAACAGATGTTAAACACGTGTTTAAAATGATATTTACATACTATAACCCTATCGTGATAACTGCGCACCTCGCTGGAATGTGACTCTCCCTCGCACTCACCCGCACACCTCCCCGTGTTCGACCCGTTCGTACCAAGGCGTCGATGTGACGTCACGGCTGCCTGATGCGCAGTTAACTCGCCCGGGTTACTTCTATCGTCTGATTGTTATAACAAATACACTCTGAACTTTGTTATAATTGTTATTAATAATGCAATAGGCTAAAGCCTGGTCCGTGAGCACGTAGAATTTTGTTCAATGACCACAAGCTACCCATCCTTATCGCTCGCGCGTAATTATGTTGCTGTCGCGCTCGCACACTCACTGCGGGCGCGCGTCGCACAGTCGCGACAGCAACATAATTACGCGCGAGCGATAAGGATGGGTATTTGGGGTCATTGGACAAAATTCTACGTGCTCACGGACCAGGATTTAGATGACAAAGTTTCAATTACTTTGTCCGTCAGACAGATAATTAGAAAATATTACACTCGTATTTTTTTTTTCATAATTAAATAATAACAGTGCTAGAGTGGATTTTTTACTCAAAAGTTACGTTTACGTCACGCGACATTTTAACATTTTGAACTCAATGCAATGAGTCGATTATGAAAAAAATTAAAAAATACGTGTCCAATTTTTTTTATTATCTGTCTGACGGACTAAGTATAATTTCGATTTCATTACCCAGTCATCATCCTAATTTCTTATTACCCTCACAGGTGTATATCGGCGTGGAACGACAACGGCAAAAAGGATGTGATCGATATGTCTCATCCAGAACTGCTGCACCGCACCGACTTCTTTCCCGGGCTCGGCTGGACCCTGAGAAGGGAGACCTGGCTCAAATTAGAGGCTAAATGGCCCGAAGCGTGAGTGGAAAATAATATTCTTAATTCAAAATGGAACGACGAATCCTTAATTCCAAAAAACAAATGTAAACGCTTTTGTGTTTTTTTTTTGGTATTTTGTCATTTGTCTTAGAGTTCGGCCAAATCGAATCGGCATAGTGTGCGCACTCCCATACATGCCCATACTGATCAACTGCCCGACTAAACTATCGGCCAACTAAAAATCAACGGTGTGCGCCTACTCTTAGATCTCTAAAAATACCCACCAAATTCAGAATCTCCTTATTTTTAAGTCGGTTGAAAATCATTCTCAATTCGAAATTGTAAACAAAAAAAGATTTTATTTCATTTTTTATTTTGCTGGGGCTCTTCCTCTGAAGCGGTCAGAGCGCCACACAGAGAGTAGTTGGACTTTTTGTAGTTTTGTTTGTTTGGTAGTTTTGTTTCGAGCAAACTGCACTAAGTCAGGGAAAAAAGAACTTGTTTTTCGTGCAACCTTTATATCACCAAATTAACACACTAAGAGGATGGACAATTTTCGACGTCATTTTTCCTTTTCAAATCAAATCAAATCTTTCTCTTTTGAGGTGCGAAACAAAAAAAAATACTTATTATTTCTTCTATTTGTTTTAGATTCTTCGACGATTGGCTCCGAGATCCCCAAAATACTGATGGACGGGCTTGTATCAGGCCAGAAGTCTCCAGAACTTTCACATTTGGAAAGGTAGTTATCTATTACTTAGTTTAGTATACTGATGAGAGCACATCAAGCTAGTCATTGTAACATCTTATGTGGTTGTTATACGAGCTAATTATCTTTTTTTTTATTTTTTGCTGAAATTGATGCGCTTGAAGATGACTTTGGTCCTTCGAGCCGGATAATCAGCTAAAACATTATCTTTTCCAGATCGGTGTAAGCAAGGGTCTGTTCTACGATATGCACCTGCGTGCGATGCAACTCAATATGGAGTATGTAGAGTTTACAGCGCTCAACCTTACCTATTTGCTCAAGGTTTGTGTCAAATACTTATCTTTCTTTTTTATTTATTATTATATTCTAGAAATGTACCTGTTAATTCACTCTTGTTCGTTTAATTTTAAATCTATAGAAAATTTTGGGGTGCCAATATACCCCAACTGGGGTTCCATAGACCCCAACATAACATTTATAATTATAATAATTTATTTGCTTAAAATAGGTGGCTACTATTTTAATCGTGTTTCCTGGAATTTATTTGTTTTTAAAATATATTTTTTTTACCTAAAAAACCACCACCATCATTACCCTATAATACAGATATAGGGCCTATTCCACTACTGTTTCTCATTACGCGCCATTTTACCCTGTATTTTTTTTTATAACCAGCACTACTAAAAGAGTACTGTTACATTATTTGACTGAACTTTTAGGATAACTACGACGAAGCGTTAGCGTCAACAGTGCGAGCGTTGCCCGAGATGACAGCAGATGAGGTCATAGCGCATCCCGCAGGCGGCTCTCCGCCTGCCGTCAAAGTGACATACTCCAATGCACAGACGTACCAGAAGGCGGCCAAGAAGCTGGGACTTATGGACGACTTCAGGGTGAGATAAAATGACACTAAGTTTTCTTCGCAATCCCAAATCCAGATGATTTAGGTTCATAACATGTTCAAAACTCTATTTAAACTCGAATATGTAGACCAAAACACAGGCTTGAATCCATACTTGACTCGTACGAATGTCCTATAGTAGCCATTGAATCATCAATTTATTATCATGTTCTATAAAAAACTTGTTCATTATGTTAAAAACATGTTAGTTAACAAAAGTTTAACGCTGAATAAAGTACTTCTTTATATTCTATTATTTACTTGGAGTAGTTTATTTACAAACTGGAAGCTTCTTCTTTTACTATGACTTCTCTATCTTGTATTAGAGTTATTTAATCCATCAATAGTAATGACGTGGAATTGAAATAAATGTCTATTCATAATCGCTCATAGATACATTTTTTCCATAAGTATTTAATATTCATATTTATAAACAGAGTGGCGTCCCTCGCACGGCATACCGCGGCATCGTGTCCTGCTTCGTGCGGGGTCGCCGCGTGTACCTCGCGCCCAGTTTCCAGTGGACCAAATACGACCCCACGTGGGGGTAGAAAAGAGCCTCTCGCGCTAGACTCGTCTCTAGGCGCGAGAATGCTGGCAAATATGTAATCAATAGTGCACATTGACTGGGGTGCAAATACACCCCATCGCGAAAATGATGTGAAATAAACCAACAATGCTGCAGATTGGGGTACAAATACACCCCGTCGCGAGAATAATGTCAAATAACAATGGCGTGGATCGACTGGGGTGCAAAAGTATCCCATTCGGTGTTGGGGTGCACGGGTACCCCACTATCAAAATGTGTAATTTCGTGGGTACCAATGTTACCGATTCTGTGTTGGGGTACAAATACACCCCACTGCGAAAATGTGTAGATTTCTTGGTGAACTTCAACAGTGTGGATACTCTAGTACTGATTAATAAAACTTTTAGTGGTCGTGGCGTTTCTCAAAATATGAGATTATTTATATGTATTTATTGACTTAAAAAAAGTGTATTTCTATTCATCAAAAATCTATACTATTTAGGTGAGTAAAAATAAAATTTAATTTTGCCAAAATTGAGCCCCTTAAAAAAATGTGAAACTACAGTACTTGCGAATCATATCATTTTGCGTTAGTATTTAATTTAATGTACAAATAAAGTATATTTGACTTTTGTTTAATAAGTTCAATGTAACAATCATTAGGTTATCACATTTATGTTATAGCCTGACCAGGAACATAAAAACCCTGGCATAGAGGCGCGTCAATTGCATTTGATAGTGCAACACTGAGTACAGTCGTACCTGTGTTAAATTAATAGGCTAACTTTATGTATCAGGATTCAGGATTACGGGCTAATTTGATATTTTCATGAATTAACGAAAAAATATTATTATAGGTAACCTGGTTTAAATAAATTAAATGAAAACATCAATCGAGCTAGTAGGATTTATTTTATTATTCATCAATAATCAAATTCAGAACTTGAATAATCAACTGCAATGTCTGCTCATGAACGCTTCAAACTCGGTACTTCTTTCCCAATTCCATAAAATTCAACACTTAGAAAGTGACATAAAACTTTAAAATAGGTAGTTGAAACAAACCACAGCTAATTTTCATAGTGGACTGTACTATACGATAAACATGTCAGTCAATTTGACACCCTTGTCGGTAAAATTATTCAATGAAAATATTGTCCGAACCCTTAGTATTTCTCTTCGACAAAACTTTAACACATTGTGAACCACTTTTCTTTCACGACTATAAAAAGATTTTAGCAATGGAATTCACAAAATCATAAAAATTGCGCACATAAAATAAAGTTTGTTTACACTTTGACAGCAATAGACTGACATGCAAAGTGACATGTCAATGAAGTTTTCAGTTACTGTTGCCATTAAAAGAAATTAGTACCATTAGTTTTCCGCAACATGGCGAGGGTTTTTATGTTCCTGGTCAGGCTATAAAACTTATGACTCGCAAGCACTGTAGTTGGAGTTAGTTAGTCCTTTTGTAAATATTATTGATTACAAAGATAAAGTTAATTTAAATATACCTACTATTTGTAATGTACTTGGTTAGAAAATATTCCTGTATATACACAAAATGTGAATAGGCAAAAGGTAGTGGTTTTATTTGAAATGTTAATAATTTTTATTACTCGAGAATGACGTTTTTGGTCGTTGTGAAAAAAAGAGAGGTTCAGTTTCATATTTTTTTCAGTCCGTTTTCCAATTTTAGATGCTTCATGAATTACTTTATTATGATTTTCGATATTTTTGCATAATCGTCGACTTTTAAGTCAAATAGTGATTAAAAGCTTTACGTCATTTTTCTGACCATCCTGTAGATGTGATTATTTTGAAGCATTATGAAGGACGTAGCACACTTATCAACCCGGAAAGGGATCGTAATCGTTACCCTGTCAACTGAAGGCGGTCAGCATTCTTTGTATTAAATTTAAAACTCCGTAATGCAACGCACACTTATCCGCGCCGTAACGCCTTGCCTCGCGGTTGACAGCGAATTGGTTTGATCCCTTTCCGAGTTCATAAGTTTGCTACGATCTTAAGCCAGTTCATTTTAAAACAGTGAATTTGATTTCATGCTCAATTTGTAGCACATACATGACATAAGTAACTTTGTCACAACACAATGTAGTTCCTGTAACATGTTATGTTCTTCCACTTGTTAGAAAATATACTTTTATAATACATTTAAAATAAATATATGATTCCCTTCATCGTAGAGCTCTCTCCATAGGCAATTTAGATTATAATAGCATACTTTTAGCTTATTTAGAAGTCTATAGGTCTAGCTCTCTACTGAGTGCCTGGGGTATGGGAGGGTGTTTTTTTGACTTTCGAACGTCAGTGCGACTTCAAATCTCCTTCACATTTTGTATGCTCTATTATGACAGAGTCATATTAAAATAGTAAGACATGGGTCTTAACGCGACGTTTATTAATTAGTTACATTATGTACTCACGGCTTGACGTTTCGCCTGCGATGCTGCAGCCGTGGTCACAAGCAGACAGCAGGCGGTACGCGGCGTCGACCGTTCGGGCGGGCTTGAAAATTTTCAACTACCCTCATATTGTCATTTGTTACACTACCACTAATGATGTTACCACGACACACAACACTCACAGTATCCGTATTCGTACCTACTTGACGACATTTGCGGTTTGCATTTATTAATCACCGGATTCCACACTGGTGACAATTTAATTCCGTCCTCCCGATTGAAATTTGTATGTTTCTTAATTTCAATCGCTTCTCGAACTATCCTAGTGTGATAATGCCGATCAGTGGAGAGAATTTTTGGACTGTGTAACTCCACGGCGGATTTGCTCGTCTGTCGATTTTTAACCGTGTCTTATTATTTTAATTGAAATGGAAAGCGAAAGTTTAAAATCTTATATTACAGACAGAGTGATATTATGTCAACGTAACCCCTCTCGTGCTGCTCCTATACCTCAGGCACTAACTCAGTCAAGCGCAATACCTATAATATTGACTTGACAGGATTTTATAGCAAAATGGTAAGAGTATAACATAATAAACTGGAATTAAATCAATCAGGTCTAAATAATTTAACATATCTTTTTCGGAATACAATCCGTCCGTAGCTCAATATTAATATGCATTTGTGATTATTTTATTAAAACAAGCGGTAATATAAACGAGTGGATGTGTTTAGTCTTGCTTGTATAGTATGTACATACTATTGTTATGTTATATGGCGGATTTACACTATGCGGAAATTAGCCGAGTCAAGTCAAAAAAACAGAGGAGTGGGGATGAAATTCATTCATTTTTCATCCCCGCCCCACTGTTTTTTTGACTTGACTTGGCTTATTTCCGCGCAGTGTAAAAGCAGCAATAGGTTTCTTTTATTTCGCCAGCTGGCGCCATAGAACTTTACTCGATAGTGGCGCCAACTTGGTTGCAAATGAGTGCAATTATGAAAACCTTGATTACAATAATGGTTGTAATTAGTCAGCCATTAATTATTTTATCGAGTTGTCATTTTTTTTACCCGACTGCGCCAGATAGAGGGTTATGTTTTTCGAGTGTATTTTTTGTGTGACTGTTTGTGCACGTTATTGTAAGGCTTACAGTCAAGCGCATTTTGACAAAATACAAACAATCATTCTAGGATAATTTTAAAATGTATGTAATTTGATTTTAAGCATAGCTACGGATGAAATAAACAACCAAAACTGACCATTGAAGTAAAATTAATAACTTGTATTGTAAAATTAAGTGTAAATAATGTAAAATTGCATATTTTATGAAAGGCTGATTATGTCTCATTCGATAGCAGTAAAGAATCGTCAAGCATTTCGCCGCAAGATTATATTAAAAGCTATGTATAACTTATTTATTTATTTTTTACTAGGACGATCGCATTGATTTTTTACTAAAGCCGACTAAAAATGGGGTATTGGTGCACCCCATAATTTATTCATAATATTTTTTGTGTTAATTTGTAAAAAGAAGTAATAGTGCGGTAATAAAAGTTGAGTTATTTTATAAGCTAGAGTCACATTCTGTTTCAATTTATTTCCACGATAATTACACTGGTCAACAAAAAATCAAAATGAAAATGGTGCCGAGATTCTGTTGATAGTTTATTATTAGGTGTGTATTAGTAATAATAAAAATATTTTTCTTTTTTTTTTCCTACGTGTAGTTTTGGATCTACCCTCAGTTTTAAAATTTAGCTTTATTCGGTATTTTGGTTGCACAGTTTGTAGTGTTATCGGTACATTTTTATAAATGCATTTATTTTAATATCATGTCTACATTGCCAAGAAGTTGTATCAATAATCAGAATGTATTTTTGTTACATTTGTGGTGTGTACACAGTTAAAAAGTTCAAAAATTCAGGCAATATTTCATTAAAAGTGCTTATTTTTCTTACTTTAAGTCGGAAATTGTAGTTATATTCAAGTCGTGGATACCCAAAATTGTTTGTATAATCTGCTGTGAACACTTAAGGCAATGTTACAATGGTCAAAGAAGCCGAACATGAAGTTCAGAGTGGAGAAAGTGAGGAAAGAACAAAAAAAAAATCCTAGTTTGAGCATAATTTTTTTTTAAATTAATTTATTAAGTAATTTTTAATGGTCCATAAATAACAATATTAATAAAAGATACTGATTTCTTAAGTTCGATGGACTATTTGGAACGATTTGCATAGATTTTGTTAATTGAAATTACAATTTTTTTTCCGAAATCTCTAGTCCAGTAACTACTCTGAAATTGTGAGACATGCCTTAAAAACTCAGGATGTCATAATTTTCATCAAAGAGCACTACCTCCACAGTCATCTAGACCAATTCCCAGAGAATCTTGGGTCACTATAGCATGCTATAGCTAAGAATAGGGAGAGCGATGCTATCAAGACCTAAAAACCATTGGAAGAGAGGTACCAAAGCAAATGGGATCGTTATATGATGGCTGATTACTGCTGGAGGATGTAACGTGATAGTTCCATTACACCTCATTCACAAAAGTCGTGGAAAATAAAGTTTTTAAGCATTTCAAAATATTATAAACGCTGATTTTGGTGAAATTTTGTATTTTTCTATACACGTCAAAATCTAGAAAACCACACGTAGGAAATCGAAAAATTTGCTACTAAAGCAACCAGCATAAGGTCCTCAATCAAAAAATATATACAGTTCCTTGGCACCAAAACCACTGTTGACCAGTGTTATTTTTAAAGAATATCAATACTTTTTATACATCTTTCCATTCCAATTTCTTGTATGTTTTGGGGTTCATAATACCCCAATTCGACATTAGCAAATTTCAATAGAAAAAGCTCAAAAAAGTGGTTTATTTATGTATGCGTTTATTATACGACTTGTAGTTAGAAGCCTTTGTACATGTTTATTTCTTGTTTATATCACGAGTGTGTTCCATCCCACTCGATATAATAAGTAAAGCTGTTTGTTTTCCAAATAAAGTAAAAAATATTATTTTTTTGCCTTGCTGAGGATATTTTTGCCTGTTCAATAATGATTTAAGCTCATAATTTCATGTTTGAGTACCGTATAAGACTGTGATCTGCATTGTAATATATTACATTGTAATTGTGCTGTAACATAGCCAATGTTATGTGTTTTTAATTAATATAATTGATATTGTTAAAACTGTGTCTTATTTTCAATACAAACTCGTGTTTGATGAATTAATTCAATCAGTCAATTTTCAAGGATGTTTTTATCGTCTTAAGAATAGTGAACCGATTGAAGACTTTAATAAGTAATGTTCACATAAGAAGGCAATAGCTGGAATCGATTTAGGCACAAGCGGTCGCTTTAAATGATAACAGCAATCATTTTGTGACGTATTACTGCTATCTCCTGCCTGAAACCTTCAATTCGAACAAACGCACTGTGATTCACGCTCCGTACTAAGGCGGCCATAAATACTTAACTTCAAAATAAAGTGGTTTTCTTTATTTTATACGTTGAAACATGTTAGAATATACACAAATAATTAAAATTTCAACATAATTATGATATTTCGCAACACAAATGTCTACTTTCAAGTGAAAAAATGTCTCATAGTAATTTTGTTTTATACAAAAAAAATGTAAAACATTTAATACTGCGACTTTTAATGTTAGAATGTTGTAATAATGGTTATTTATATGAATAGTTAACTATAAAGGTATAAAATAAAATTGCAAGAATACTTATAATTAATTTTAAATACATAACAATTCCAATTTTCAACACAAAAAATAATATTTTAAATACATAACAAATCCAGTGCACATTTTGATAGGGCATCTTTTTTTAACTCTTAACTTACGTAGACTTGATAAGAGGGGGTCTGAATGAAGAAGAAGCCTATTGACCTAATCTTTATTGGTCAAGATGCGGCTCAATTTTCGTGTGTAATTGCGTCTAAATGATTTAATGTGTTTGTTCTTCAGACAACTCCCCGATTGCCAATAAAGCGTGATCTATAACATTAGTACCATGGACTAGTACTTTGTGAACGGAAGCAGGTATATTATACCAAGGATACTTGGCAACTAATTGTCGAGCTGTCTCTAAAGCGAACTCTTCGAATTTCGTCTTATTAATGTTATATGTTGAATTTAGACACTGAAGTATGGTCCAGCACCGATCTAGTAGACTTTTCTTGATACCAGTAATTTCAGTTGAAATTTCAGAGTTCAAGAAAAACCATCTAGCGTCATCGTGATGAGGTAAACGAAAATCAGTTAGCTCAACATCAATATTTTCGACATTATTCAACCAATTAGAGTGCTTTTCTATTAATTTATATTTAGTTCGAATTGCTTTTGCCCATAAAAACTAAATTCGTGTACATACATAGTTAATTTTACCACTGAAAGTCTTTAAATCAATATTTTCAACGTTATCCGCTAGGCACGAAGTTTCGATCATATTGTTAAAAATATGATCATTTTTTCCTTTGAACTACTCTATATAGAGTGCCAAAGGTCAATATCATCATCCTCGAAACGAAACATTTGAAAATTGTACCTAAAACAACATAAAAGTAATATTTAAAAAATGTTTTATTTTTAATACTACCGAAAATTACACTTTGATACCCTATAACTTAAAAAGAGGCAAAAAGCGGCAGATGAAACATATATGCCCTTATTAAGGACAGTCTCTTCTATTAAAAAAAAAATAATTCATGGCATTAAGTACAAGGCATTTCAAAAGTTATAAGTCTAATTGAAATAGAAGTTAAGGATTTTTTTTTTCGAAAAAAGTAGCTCTCTAAAAAAATTAAATAAAAATAAACGGAGCATTATAAAAAATAAAAATGGTTGATAATAAAAGTACATAGCCTTGTTCTTGAACCTCCATATGATCAACACACTTAAACATTTGATTTGGCACAGTAACACTCAATAACATAGTGATTAACTTTCGACGACTCACATCTCGCGGTAAATAGACTCGAGATGCCCTCACTTCCGATGCACAAAAGTGAATGAAACCTTGACCTTATTACATTACTATTTATAGTTTTTGATAGCTTGGTTACTAGTGAATAACCTAGGGATATCATCGGGCCCGGATTAGACAGTGACATTTTTGGATTTTTGGCCTATGGGTGAATCACCGTGAAACGCCTTGAGTCATACAACAACCACAACATAGGTCGCGCAAGGTGGCGTGACGAGTTATTTTTGTTTACTTGTCATTTGTTAAATCATTATTTATTTTCGAACAAGCTGATTATTGACAATTTGTTTATAAAAATGTCCGTGAAAAACGCTGTGCAATCTAATTTCCATAACTTTTTTACTGAAGGATGTATTGAATATATTTACGAAGATGAGCAGGTATGTAAGTTTGTGATAAAATTATCAATCAATGTGTGTTTATTATACCTATGGTTTAGATACATTGGCGATGCAGGCATGTGATTATTATTGTGTAGGTTTCTAAAAGCTTATCAAAATTAATTTAAAAGTGGAAGAAAATTGGAAAGCCTTAGTTCAAAGAACATAGCTGCCTAAGTAGAAAGTTTTAGAATTAGATAGTCCGAATCGTTCTAGTAAGTATTGTGTTTTAACTGCTCGATCTTTTATTTCAGATAAATATTATTTATCTACTTACGTAATAGAATAGTGTAGGCTATTCGCTAAAAACTATTCGTGTTTCTTTTTTGTTTTCAGTGTGTGGCCTTTGACGCAACTAAAAATCAGCAGGCGCCAACTCATTTTCTTGTAGTCCCCAAGAAAGTGATACCAAGATTGTCTTTAGCTTCACCTGAGGATGAAAAAATATTAGGTACGTGGTTAAGCTACACATTTTGGTAACAGTCACTCCATGCATTATTTCCATTTTTTTTGTATCTTTCAAAATTTTATTACATGTTTGTAGGACATTTGCTCATCGTATGTCGTCGGGTTGCGAAAAGTAAAGGGCTGCATCCAACTGGGTTTCGGGTGATCATGAATGAAGGCCCTCAAGGAGGTCCTACAGTCGATCACTTGCATTTTCATGTCATGGGGCATCGTCAAATGATGTGGCCTTTTTGTTAGTGGTTGTGGTGTAGGTACTGAGTGGCTAAAATAAACGGGTATAATGCATGATTGTATGTGTTTTAATCATTATTCCCAGCTAGTGAAATCACTCTCCGCTGTCTTTGCCAATAACGAGTAGTGACAGGACCTTACTCAACAGTGGAGGAGGCTGTAGGAGGGCCGTAATTACAGTAGTCCTACTCTAGAAAGGTCTTGTGACTGTCATTCGCCAGTGGTGCTAATTGGTGTGCGAAAATATGATACCATATATTGCATGACCCATGAGTAAATTATATTCTAATCATCAAATGTTTTATTAATCTAAGATTCAAATACATTTTATAATTTTCTGCTTTCTTCTTGAGTGAGGTTACTTATATTAATTGTTTCAGGTCATCTGTTAATAGTAGCTAAGAATATCGCAAAACAAAAAGGACTAGCAGGATATCATGTAGTCGTAGATGAAGATCACAGGACGGTGAGGTTCAACGGAATCCATCTTTTTGGCAGGTCTCTCGTTCACATGATGTGGCCTACAGGGCCTGGCTGTAGGCTATAAGCGAGCATCGGGCGAGATACTAGGATATAAATAAATAAGCTTAAGATTTAAATATAAGGCACAGTATTTAAATAAATGATAGGTATTATTCTAAACTAGAATTTTATTTTCACGTGCTGGGATATTTTTGACGTATTATTAGATTTAGATTATTTTATCAAATAAGCAATAAAATAAATAAGTAAATACAATTTTGTTCTCTCTTTTATAGAAAAAAAAAGCTCAACACTATTTTTAACACTTTTATGGTATTCAAAAAGTCATGGGGGTATTTTGCACCCCATGCACGATTTTGTTTATAATAAAATAACGCAGTGTGGTCCGATTCGGACCGCACGATTGAAACGTCAAAATGGACATGAAAAAAAATGCAGTTACAAAAAGATGGCGGGCGGTGAAGTTGAACTCGCGCAATCTGCTGCCCCTGGTGGCGATACTATATTTGGGAAGATTCTGAGGAAGGAAATACCTGCTAAGTTTGTCTACGAAGACGAACAGGTAATGAATTAAATATATTTTCACGTAACACTTTTACCGACCGGTGTTCTGTCAACAGCTGTTTTCTGTCAAGATTTTCTCTATCTTCTTGAACTTATTTTTCCAATTAGAATTAGTTTTAAAGATTACCTGGTATGTCTGCAGCACGTGTTTTGAATAGCATGCAATTTTGATTCCTCTCATTTTTCTCTCTTTTTGTTTACTTGGCAACTGACATAACCAACAATGATGAACCAAGAGAGACCCAACCATTGAGAAGTATTTATTTGTACACCCGCTTTCGTACTACAATAAGCAGCACACTATCCTTTTCATCATCAATACACAGAACAATCGCTTCTAAACTTCTTGACTGACACAAAACTTAAAAAGTATTGTATTTACAGAATAATTTTAATGAGTATTTTTTGTGCAGTGCGTTGCCTTCCACGATGTGAACCCACAAGCCCCGACGCACATCCTGGTGATCCCTCGCAAGCCGATCGCACAGTTGTCCAAGGCCGAAGATGAAGATGAGCAGCTTCTAGGTAATTAACATTATTTTACAAATATAATAATGAGTATTTCTCAAAAAAAATGTACATTTTGAAAAAAAAAAGTGTGCTTTGAAACAGTTCAAAAGTTTTATATTTATAAATCATCACACAAAAAAAACACACTCACAATTTTGAAGGATGAATATTAATCTTTAAGATAACGAAGAATTATAGCTATAATCCTACTTATTACCAAATATTTAGATATTTTAAAAATAGTCCTTTTTTACCTTTCATACAAAAACCTGTTTGCCACCCCTAGCTTTTTCATGTATTTTTGGTCATAAAATGCGATACGTAACTAAATTATTGTAAATTTCTTTGTATTATCGTTCTACAGTAATCGCAGTTTCTGTATCAAATTGATTTTCTATGGGGTGTCATAATGAATTGGCAATTTAAAGCAAAAAAACAAAATGAGTCGCTCTCATTTACTATTTCGTTATTTACTCTTTAGTTACGATTTATTTCTACTTTCCCATGGTTTCTGAACAATTCCGTATTTATTTTACACGGACAACAATAGCTGCACTCTGAATGGCTGTTGGCCTGACGTCTCCGCCATAACATCTATCGCGAAAATTAGTGAAAACGTGTGTGTTTTGTGGGATTACTTTTTCGTAACAGGCAGTAAAATCAGCGATTTTATATAGAACGGTAAGTCTTCATTTAACCATTTTTTGTAATACGTGTGGTACGAACATTTAGTAAGCTTTTATATTTGCTGTAACAAATTTTATCAAAAAAATACTTGTTTCTGATCTCATTTTGTCTAATATTTCGTTACGTTTTTTGCGAATTTCGTTACGTTACGAAAAAGTACAACATAATGCTGAGTGTATACTGTTATTACCTGACTAAGCATAGTAATATTCACTACTTAATTAATTTCAAAAAATATAGAGCGTTAATAACAAAAGGATTGGATACTATCTGCTTTACAGAAGTGCCACCAGCAAAAAATTATCAAATCATTTAGATTACGTTTTTATGTGATTACTTCTTTTGTTTTTTTAGGAATGCCGCCAAAAACCAATGCCGAAAGGCAAAAAGCTTACAGAGAACGACTCAAAATGGATAAACATGATGGAACAAAAATAATTTTATTAAAATAGTATGAATGATTACTCCCTTATTTTATTTCTAACCCCTTAATATTACCCCGTATTTGGGTGCATACTTACAAATATTTCGAATTGAATAAATAAAGAGCATTCACAATATTTCGCCAATGTATAACAAGCCTTATTGCCTTACTATTTCGTTACTACTGTTTCGTTACGTACATTTTTTTTGAGAAATACTCTAATAATAAATCTTTGGACAATTTCACACAGCGCCAGCTAGCCCCAAAGTAAGCAACTTAATTCTTGTGTTATGGGTGCTAGCTTAACGGATATACTACTTATATAATTTTTATGTTGCATTGCTTTCATTTAATGAAATGAAGTTGCAATATTTTTTGTTACAAGTTAATAATAAGCAGGAATCTTTATAGTTTTTGTTTATCACACATTTTTTTATGTTAGTAAAATGGGAACTGGAAGGTTACAAGACTATTTTATGCTCATTAAAGATAAACTTTGTTGGCATAATTCTATTATTAAGATAACATAGTATTTATTTAGCATTCGCCTCGAGTGAAATAACCTTGAGCTGTCAACAATAAGTTTCCTCTGCCATCTGCCACTTCTAAGCAGCAGCCAATATGTTTTGAAGTGGTGGCAGGGCAAGCCATATTAATTTATCATAGTTATTTACATTACTTGCCCTGAAAAGGGCATTGGTTTCAACCAAATGTTGTTCACTACTGGTCAAAGGCCATCCCTAAGGATTTCCACAGCAACAACTGTCCAGCCCATTATTTGGATTTGAATATAAGGTTACAGTAATGATAACTCTTCCATTTGCAGGTCACCTCATGATCGCAGCACGCAAGGTGGCGGCCCAAGAAGGCCTGGACAAATCTGGCTTCAGGCTGGTCATCAACGACGGCAAGCACGGAGCACAGAGCGTCTACCACCTCCACCTGCATATCCTTGGCGGACGTCAGCTGGAATGGCCCCCAGGCTAATAAGTAATGAAATGAGACTGTAACTTGGGTTGCATTACTTGCATTTGAGCGTTCGAAATAAAGTTGTTTTCTTTTTTAAACTATCGTTTATTTATCAAAACGGCATTCTCTCCCAGTCAACCTTTGGGTCAAGCAGAAAATGGGTTGATTTATACAACTTCCAGATGTATTTTAAGTAAGTAAACTTTAATAACTTAATGATTTTTGTAGGTATTTAAGATAAAAATGAGGAAAAAAATTATAAAAAGTACTGATAACGAAACGCAGTTTTTTTTTTTTTTTTTTTTTTTTTTTAATATGGCTCGCGCGGTTTGCGCATTTGCCAATGTCAAGGTAGGGAAACGGATGTCAATAAAAAAGCGGAATTTCGGAATTTAGGGCTAGGATCAGTATAGGTAGGAACTGGTAGGAAGTGTTAATAGGAAATTAGGAAAACTAAACCTTTAAATTATTATTAGATAAATAAATAGAGATACATTTATATATAGAGAGGTCGTTCGTATATAAAAGAGAATTAATGCAAGTAGGAAAAGGGACACGGAGGGTCAGTAAGGAAGATATAAAAGAGGAGCGGTCATATTTAGGGCATGAAAATAGACAATGGTTTAGGTCACCCACTTCATTTGCGTCTCCACAGTCGCATTTGTCGCTGTTTACAATCTTTAATCTAGCCAAATGAAAGGGGAGGCAAACATGACCCAGTCGCATACGAATGAGGCTACTAGTCCCTGCCTTATCCAGCTTCAGTTTGAAAAACCACGGTTTGAGAGGAACATGTGGTTGAATATTCCTGTAGTGTTTCGCTTTAGTTTGACTGCTGTCAGTCCATTGACTTTCCCAAGATTCCCTAAGGGAGAGTTTGGGAAGTGAAAGTAAGTCATGACTGTAATTTTTATATGGAAACAGGTCACCACAGGAAATTGCATCATTAGCTAAGCGATCGGCCCTTTCATTCCCGGGAATATTACTGTGACCAGGAATCCAACCAAATACAACTTTCAAATCTTTTAAGAAGCAATTGTATAGTAGCCGCCTGCAATCCATGATTACAGGGTAGAAAGTATTTGACTTAAAAGGGAATTTAACAAGAGCTTGAAGAGCACTTTTTGAATCAGTGAAAATAATAGTTTGTTGCAATTTCATAATTAAGATGTATTCAAGAGATTTGAAAAGGCCGAAACATTCAGCTGTAAATACAGATGTTTCTGGGGGAAATTTGATTTTTTGAACTATTTTTAATTGCTCATGATAGACTCCAACGCCTACTTGGCTATTGGTAGAATGCTTTGATGCATCACAATACATGTGTTGCCAGTTAGACCAATCCCTGTCAATCATAAAATTAAAGTTTGTGAGGGCATTTCGATCATCTTTGTAAACACCCAAATCAAAATAAATCTCTGGGGAGAACATTAACTCTTCATATTTACTACAAAAAATTGGCAGATAAGAGGAACTATGGGTAGGAGCTTGCAGAGATATGTATTTACGATAACTGATTACTAGACACGGAGGAGATTTGTGATACCAGTATGAGGAAGATTCTACATATTCTAAAAGAGCTGTAAGTTTTGAATGGAGAGGGTGATTCGAAAACTGTAATGCTCGGAATAAAAATCTATCACTTAAGTATTGACGACGTAGCTTAAGAGGTGGATCGACACACTCGACTTGAAGAGCAATAATAGGGCTCGACTTCATGGCACCAGTTACTAATCGAAGAGCTTTATTTTGGATCAAATCCAATTTACGAAGCCCCACTATACTGCAGGGTTCAAGAAAGAAAGTTCCGTAATCGAGGATACTCCTGATAAGGGCATTATATAAAAGCTTTAAACAGAACGGATGAGCGCCCCACCAGACACCAGTTAGACATCTGAGAATATTTAATAGTCGCTCACATTTAGAACTGATGTAATAGAAATGCGGAAGACCTGTCATTTTGGAATCTAAAATGATTCCTAGAAATTTGGCTTCATTTTTAACCGGGATTGGTTGATTATCAAAATAAACACTAATTGGGGGTGGAAAACGGATTCTAGAAAACAAAACTATTGAGCTTTTAGGAGGGGAAAGGCTAAGGCCATTTTTGTCTAACCATGATTTTAATAGGGAGAGAGAATATGTAAGAGACTCACACATTAACTGTATATTATTACCACTAACATAGAGGAGCAGATCATCAGCATATTGTAAAATATGTGCACTGTTATTCATAGAAGGTTCTAAATCATAGCTATAGATGTTAAATAATAAAGGACTCAAGACGGAACCTTGAGGAAGGCCCTTACTTAATAACCTGGATGAGATTTTGTTATCATGAATAACATTTATAGTTCGCATAGATAAGATATTTAGGATGAAATTTACGAGCAAACCGGGAACTTGTAGTTGTAAAAGTTTACTTCTAAGAACAGTTAACAACACATTATCATATGCTGCTGTTATATCAAGAAAAGCCGAAAGAACTGAAGCGCCACATGAAAACGCCAATCTAATATCAGTGCAAAAAATGCCAATACTATCTGCACAACTCTTCCCTTTTCTGAAACCGTATTGACTCTTGCTGAGCAAGCCTTTACTCTCCATAAACCATTCCAACCGGTTTTTAATTAAGTGCTCAGCTACTTTCATAAGAATGGATGAGAGCGCAATTGGTCTGTAAGAGTTGGAGTCTTCTCGTGGCTTATGGGGTTTCAAAATTGGAATTACTTCCTGAGATTTCCATGAAGGTGGAACGCAACCAGAATTGAAAATAGAATTTACAAGAGTTAGATAATATAACAAGCTAGAATTACTAAGGTTACACAGAAATGAGTAGGGGATCCCATCGCCACCCGGCGCAGAGTCTTTAACATAAGTTAAAATTCCTTTAAGCTCAGAAAGTGAAAAAGGGTCGCTAAGAACTGTATGTTCAATGTTTGTAAATAAAAAAGCATCATTGGGTATAGAAAGATTCTCAGCAACAGAAGGTGGAGCAAGTTTATCTAAAAATTCTTCAATTAAAGTATCATTAAGAGACGGCGGCTGGGATTCTTTAAAAGCAGATCTAAATTTTCTTATGTTAGTCCAAACAAAAGAAGGGGAAACATCTGGCGAGATGGATAAGCAAAAGTTTCTCCAGCCTTCCCACTTTTTGCGTTTTAATAATTTTTTGGTATTTGACATTATTTCAACTAATAAGTTAAAATTAGCTTCTGTTGAAATAGCACAGTAATTCTTTTCCGCTTCCTTTCTTTTCCTAACAGCATCTGAGCACTCGCTATCCCACCAAGGTGGTGAGGGGATTTTATTAGTATGACGACCGTTTTTAATAGGAAATACCTGATTAGCAGATTCGATTAATAAAGAGGCTAAAGCTTCAGCACATGCTGATTGATTGTTTTCACTAACAACCGGTAGAGATGAAAGACCTTGTTCCACCTTGTCCTTAAATAGGCTCCAATCAGCTCGGTCCAGTCTGTATTTCATTCGAGGTTCGCGATTATTCACATTCCTATTAATATCTGGGAATTCAATGACAACTGGGAAATGGTCGCTGCCATACGATGAAGGTAATGTTGACCATGATAATGACGAGGCTAAATTAGTAGAACAAAGAGATAAGTCAGGAGCGCTCACTCCTTCATGAGGCGCAGTCCTGCGGGTTGCAACGCCAGAGTTTAAGATACATAAATGATTGTTATCTAAAATTTCTAAAATCCTATTACCGTAATAATTAGAACTACTACTTCCCCAAGTTTCATGTTGAGCGTTAAAATCACCCATAATAATAATAGGATAAGGAAGGTTGCCAATAATGTTATCTATTTCATCATAAATGTGGGAAGTAGGATGAGGAATATAAATTGAGACAAAAGTTATATGATTTACTGAAACTGCAATAATAGAAAAATCACTACTGTGCTGAGGAATTGGGACATGGGAAAACGGAGTAGAGTGACTAATAAGAATAGCCACGCCTCCATACCCATCACTACGATCTTCTCTAACACAGGAAAACTTAGGCACTTTAAAAATGGAAACAGGCTTAAGCCATGTTTCCTGTAGAGCAATAATAAATGGATTTTCTTTATTTATTAAATATAAAAGGTCACTTTTTTTAGTTAAAATGCTGCGGCAATTCCATTGAATTGCTGAAGCTTTGTTCGTTATGTGAAATTTTGTCTAATAATCTATCTTTGATTGAGGCAGCGTTGGACGGTAGGGATGACAAATTAGTTTGCAGAGAATTAATCAGGGCTACAATTAATTCTTTTAATGATAAATTACTTAAAGAGTTTGAGTATTTCTCATCGCTGTTAATTAAAATACTTTTACTTGGAGAGATTTCAGAGTTATATCCTTGAATGATTTCATCATGAGCAGATTTATCATAACCTTTAGAGAACCTAGGAGGAGATCTAGGCTTTAAGAAAACAGTTTTTTTGTATGAGGTCTTATTAGAGTAATTTGATGACACATGATTGTATGAATTCTGAGGTGTAGGAGATACTAAAACATCTGCATAAGATTTAGAACAAGGAGGGTGTAATTTAAGTGCCTCAGCATATGTAATGCAGTCTTTTGCCATAGATTCCTTTATGTTCTTTTGCCTATTATATTCAGGACATACTTTGCTAGTAGCCATATGAAGACCTGAACATAAACAACACCTTATTTCATCTTCCTCCACTGAACAGGTATGTCCTGAGTGGCCTAGACCACACTTAAAGCATCTAGGAGTTGAACGGCATTGACTTTTCACGTGGCCATACCGACAGCAGCTAAAACATTGAATGGTGGGATAGATATACAGGTCAACGGGCAGTGAGTTAAAACATAAAAACACTCTCTTAGGGAGGACCTGACCGTCAAAAGTTAACACCACTGTTTCTATAGGTACAAACTGAGCCTCACCATTAACTATATTTTTCCTTTTAAGACGCCTAGCTTTCAGAATTTTCCCACAACCTATTGGTACTGAAATATTGCTCACAATCTCTTCTTCAGTCCAGTCTGTCGGCACACCTCTCACCACACCCATACGTGTCACATTAAAAGAAGGTATGAACGCTTTATATTTATTGAACTTCAAACTCCCGTTGTCTAGAAATGAGTTAGCATCTTCAAATTTGGAGAAAGATATTGATAATCGGTTCCTTCCAATTCTTTTTAAACTACCATCAATGATGTTTCTAATCCCATTCTTTTTTAAGAAAAAGCCAAATGATATAGGATGAATGGTGCAGTTTTCATTAGGGTCAGATGGAACTCTTTGTATGTGAACAACATATGGTGCCAAATCTGAAGCTACATAAGAAGGTCTAGCAACTGGGGCACTTGGGGAGTTGGTTAAGTTTTCATTGGCCGACAAATTCGCAGTGGATGGAGATGGATCTAATGAAGAAACTATGGGCGCATCCTGTAATTCATTAGTACTGCTACTAAGAATACACTGACATTCAAAAACGTTTGTTGAATCGAACACATTAGATTTATTATGACGGCTCCTCCTTTTTTTGTTACAATGTTTGCAAACTTTTCTAGATAAAGTTCGTTTGCGTTTCGCATGCGAAACATTTGACTCACAGTTATTATTATCAGTTACCGATCCTTCAGTGTCCAGACATGAACTATTACGTGAAATAGTAACGTAATTAGATACCGGGGGGGCTGTCCCACCCGGGTCATGAGGATCGTCGTCCATTGGACGAAATGGAAAGTTAAAAAGTTAAAACTTACCCAATATGTGATGAGATATGATACACTAATATGATATATAAATAAAAATTAAGTTAACAAACTACACTGCACTACTTATCTGATCCTATAAATAGAAAATTAATGAAAAAATAATTTCTCCAAAAAAAGACGTCCACCGAAACCGACGTTTCCCGCGCTTCCGAAACGCAGTTTGTAATTGGATTGAACTTGAAGAAACAAAACGCGAATTTAGTGTTGCCTTGCTAAAAAATTGCAAATTTCGAGTATAATTTCACGTGATATTTAAAAACAACTATTATCACAATGTGTGACAAAATGACATTTAATTTTTTTTAATAGCAACATTTAGTTTTCCGCCATTATTGTTTTGAAGTGTTGTAAATCCGGCGGTGCTCGATAATTTATTTATTTTCTATTCTGAAGCTAGAAAACTGCTGTAAAAATGAGTGAAAACGTGTTGATCACCGACATTTTTACAAAATTCCAACATAGCCTGGACTCCGACCAAGAAACTCGTGAGGTAATATTTATGAATAATCATGAACGTGTAATGTTAGCTTTCTCACTGATTTCCTTATGTTTTTATTAATTTACATGATCATAAATCGTAATTTATTAGTCACGCTATCGATTTACAGTGTACCTCTCATAGTTTAGCCCTTATTTGTCGGTTTTAATCCAGTTTGGTTTTATTTTTAGGTTATAAGAACGATTTGTAAGGAAATAGACCAAATATCCCGCGAAGCGGTAACTTATTTACAAATCATACACCACAAAGAGGAAGGCAGTAAGTACTTTGATGTCCTGAACTATCACCATACTTTTTATAATGTAGGACTTGAATTTTTACTACTTTTTAACTTTTATTTTTTAGTCGCTCAAGCATGCCAAAAGACCCGAGGCCTCTTTGAAAAAGCTCGTGAAGGCTACATGAAGCTAAAGGAGGCTGTACCCCCTACAGACTACTTCAAGTAAGAAAATATTTCTAAATAGAAAAATAAGTACTAAAGTTAACTGCCGAGTGTAGAAAGTATAATTTTCAACACATACACATCTTTATTTTCCCACTGACCCTCTAAAAGGTTCCAATTTAAGGTTCTTCCAGGTTTGAAGATACAAAATCGTACCCACTGATCGGAAATAATCATTTTTAGATACCATGACCATTGGCGCTGGGTGACACAACGCTACAGTTTTTTGATTTCTCTTGTCATCTGGCTAGAGGTTGGCGTGCTGGCTTCACATGAGACTGTTGCTGACATCCTTGGCAGTAAGTATAAGCAATATCTAGCTTAGAATCCTTAAAATGTAGTCTTTAAAAAAATTTGCAGCAACTAAACTTTTTCCAACTAAATATTTTCATTCAAAGTCNAGCTCGACACAGGAAATTTCGATAATAGATGTTCAGTTTACATATAAATAGTTACTATGCTTAAAAACAAAACATTAAATGACTCCTATATGCAATTAAACTTTCTTCCAATCTAAATATTTGATTGGAAGAAAGTTTAATTCATGTTGAAGTATGTGTACCATGTGGTCGGTGTCCATTCCACATTTTAGTTGTTACGTAATAATTTCAATGTTTTTGATTTAGTAAAATCAGGGTGGAAAAAAATCATGTTTTTTTTATTTTAATCAAATAAATCAGATTTTTTTGAAAAAATACAGATTTTTTTGATTTGATTTTTATTACATTTATTTTGCAATTACCTTAGTTTTTCATGCGGAAAACATGTTTATTTAGGTACAACTGAGGTACAGTACTGGGAACAAGCCAAAAAAAGTAAATTGTGTAAGATGGTAGGTATGTCATATTTTTACTGAAACAAGAAAAAACTTTCGTCAAAAACAGCTCGTCTTAAGTGGTGTCCGTTTCCATTACAAAAACATGAATATCTTAATACAATTATCAATATTTTTTTTCCCAAAAAGAAAATCTATGGAAAAATATTTTTTTACCAATTTTTCATACAAAACGGCTATTTCACACTTGAACACCTAAATCAACATTGTTTTCGAACATTATAGTTGATTAATATGCATTCCCAGTGTTGCATTAACAGGGTGTCCACTGCAAATGTTCGAAAAAATTCCCTGACTTTTCCCTGACTTTCCCTGACAATTTTTTCAAAATTCCCTGACCAACTATGTATACAACGTGTCCCAAAATTCAAGGATAAGCCGACGCCACAGGATGGACATAGTCATGACTACTTTAGGAAAAATAAGGAAAAAAATCTATCTCAATTATTTTTTAACTTACACAATAAATTATGAAATTCAACGAAAATTGACACCCCTTATGATATTTTACATTACCACGACCACAATTTTTCAATTATTCCTGGTTTTCTGTTTATATCGGCAACTTAAGTAGTGCTGCTGTTCACCCCAACTCTTAAAACCCCCAGAATCCTTGCAGTTTTAACACAAAAGTTAATCAAAATATTTTATTTCCATAACATTTTGAACGATTTTTACTTTCACTCCACTTTGACTCATCGTTTTGTAAAAAAAAAGTATGAACACTACTGCGGCAAGTTTTTTTAAAGTTGACGCAACTATCAAAGATTCCAAAATGGTACTCTAAGAAACCTAGTCGCAAAAAAGATATGCGTACCATTTTTACAAGCACTTCGCTTGTTAGTTAGTATGGGATAAATCTTACAACTGAATTTAAAACCAGTTCTCCTTAATCAATTGAGCTGAAATTTGGTATACTTGTGTAAGTACGATGACAATGCAATATTATGGTACCATTGAGCTGGATGGAGTCAGAGTCAGAGAGACATTGAGATAGGAACTCTTAACGAAACGGCGGAATTGCATCTAGTTTGGGTTCGTTGGACTTGTCTTTTCGAGCACTTTAGTGCTAGATGATGTCCAGGGTCCTGATGATGAAGTCAAGAGGTGGCAGGAGCTGGCCATAGGAAGTCCTAAACGAAACGGCGGAAGCTTATCGAGTTTCGGTTCGTTGGATTTGTCTTCCCGAGCACTTAGGCCATGAGATTGAGAAACAACTAAAAAGTTTAAAATAAAGTTGTAATAAAAAAAAAACTTTTTTAAAAACAAGCTTGACTTCGTTTGAAAATTATAATTGACTTCATCATCAGAACCCTGGACATCATCTAGCACTAAAGTGCTCTAAAAGACAAATCGAACGAAGCCAACCTAGATGCAATTCCGCCGTTTCGTTTAGAAGTTCCTGTGGCCACCTCCAGTTTCAGCTCAATGGTACCATAATATTGCATTTTCATCGTACTTACATAAGTATACCAAATTTCAGCTCAATCGGTTGAGGAGAACTGGTTTTAAATTCAGTTGCAAGATTTATCCCATACTAACTAACAAGCGAAGTGCTTGTAAAAATGGTACGCATATCTTTTTTGCGACTAGACTTCTTAGAGTATTATACCATTTTGGAATCTTGGATAGTTGCGTCAACTTTATAAAAAACTTGCCGCAGTAGTGTTCATACTTTTTTTTTACAAAACGATGAGTAAAAGTGGAGTGAAAGTAAAAATCGTTCAAAATTTTAAGGAAATAAAATATTTATTTCCTTAAAATTTTGAACGATTTTTATAAAATAAAAAATGGTGGTCGTGGTAATGTAAAATATCATAAGGGGTGTCAATATTCGAAGAATTTCGAATATTGACACCCCTTATGATATTTTATATTTATTGTGTAACTTAAAAAATAATTGAGATAAATTTTTTTCCTTATTTTTCCTAAAGTAGTCATGACTATGTCCATCCTGCGGCGCCGGCTTATCCTTGAACTTTGGGACACGTTGACTTTTCGGATAGATCCAGTTAATGAGGAAGATGTAAATCAAAATGTATCCCCCTTTTTCAGCCCTAACAAAAACTTTAAGCTAAAATAAGACTGACTGTGAAAAAATTTTGTTGATATCACGAAAATTACTGATATCGTTTGAAAGAGCTCGTGAAGCACTTTCAAGATCAGTAAGCAGGTTTTCGATATCTTGTGTAGTTTAGAAATAATCGAATGAGATCACTTATCGTTTCCACCCTGTATTACTTAATAGCACTCACAGTGAACTGCTCACTAGTCTGCACTCAATAATCAAATCAATAAATAATTATAAAAAAAATATAAATAAACATAAGTTATAAGTTGCACTTTCACATCAACAATAGAAAATATTATTATATCATTTTACTGAAACAAAAAAACATGCTCAAGAAAAGATATACTATTATTATACTTTTTCATGCCATAAAGCTCATATAACGTATTTCGACTTTTGTATATTCCCTTAGTAGCCCAGTCACTAAACTTAGATTTGGTATTTGGTTTTAATGGCTTTACAGTAAAAACTTTGTCATGTTCGGTTTTAATACATTCGAAAAGGTTATTGTAAAGAGCATCTGGGTCTCCCTGTACGTACGGCACTAAATGCAATTTATTTCCAAGATTATTCTTAAAACGTTCTAGACGACTAATGGTTACAGGTCTACATACGGCATTTTTGTTACTTGTATTATTAGAATTATTAAAAATAAATTCTACTTTAATACCACAGTGATCTGACGTAAGATTGTGTATGACAGCTTTTTTGTCAGGGACACAGCTAGAGAAAATATTATCTAGACAAGTAGCTGTGGTTTCCGTAATTCTAGTTGGCTCCTTAAATTGACTAAACAAATTAAATGACTTAAAAAGGGAAAGTAGTCTTACAGAATATGATGATGAGCTATCTAGTAAATTGACGTTAAAATCTCCACAAACTAAGACCTTTTTGTTGCTGTTACAAGTTTTATTAAGAGCATCCTCAATAGCCGCTTCAAAAATACCAAAGTCCCCAGAAGGGGGTCTATACACACAAACAATGATGTAACTCTCAAGCTCGACACAGGAAATTTCGATAATAGATGTTCAGTTTACATATAAATAGTTACTATGCTTAAAAACAAAACATTAAATGACTCCTATATGCAATTAAACTTTCTTCCAATCTAAATATTTGATTGGAAGAAAGTTTAATTCATGTTGAAGTATGTGTACCATGTGGTCGGTGTCCATTCCACATTTTAGTTGTTACGTAATAATTTCAATGTTTTTGATTTAGTAAAATCAGGGTGGAAAAAAATCATGTTTTTTTTATTTTAATCAAATAAATCAGATTTTTTTGAAAAAATACAGATTTTTTTGATTTGATTTTTATTACATTTATTTTGCAATTACCTTAGTTTTTCATGCGGAAAACATGTTTATTTAGGTACAACTGAGGTACAGTACTGGGAACAAGCCAAAAAAAGTAAATTGTGTAAGATGGTAGGTATGTCATATTTTTACTGAAACAAGAAAAAACTTTCGTCAAAAACAGCTCGTCTTAAGTGGTGTCCGTTTCCATTACAAAAACATGAATATCTTAATACAATTATCAATATTTTTTTTCCCAAAAAGAAAATCTATGGAAAAATATTTTTTTACCAATTTTTCATACAAAACGGCTATTTCACACTTGAACACCTAAATCAACATTGTTTTCGAACATTATAGTTGATTAATATGCATTCCCAGTGTTGCATTAACAGGGTGTCCACTGCAAATGTTCGAAAAAATTCCCTGACTTTTCCCTGACTTTCCCTGACAATTTTTTCAAAATTCCCTGACCAACTATGTATACAACGTGTCCCAAAATTCAAGGATAAGCCGACGCCACAGGATGGACATAGTCATGACTACTTTAGGAAAAATAAGGAAAAAAATCTATCTCAATTATTTTTTAACTTACACAATAAATTATGAAATTCAACGAAAATTGACACCCCTTATGATATTTTACATTACCACGACCACAATTTTTCAATTATTCCTGGTTTTCTGTTTATATCGGCAACTTAAGTAGTGCTGCTGTTCACCCCAACTCTTAAAACCCCCAGAATCCTTGCAGTTTTTACACAAAAGTTAATCAAAATATTTTATTTCCTTAAAATTTTGAACGATTTTTACTTTCACTCCACTTTTATATCATTTTACTGAAACAAAAAAGTACAACTATTAAAACAAAAAGGAGTAATTTAGTTATGACAAAAAAAATCATAACATAGATCACTCTAATCCTGAAAAAAGAACTATATGAAAGTAATCTAATTATGAACAAAATTATGTCATAATTTAGATCAATCTACTTCATTAGATAAAAAACTAAAAAGGAGTAATATAATTATGACTAATAACAAAGTCATAATTAATGTAGATCACTCCAAACCCGAAGAAAAAAATGCTTCGATAGTCAAGATCAAAGGTCTTTCTAGAGCATAAATTAATTAAATCCCTCATTTTACAATCACTGGGAAATTTCGGGAGACAAACAGTGTTTTGGTAGACAAAATCTCAATTTTTCCCTGACTTTCCAGGTGACCCCTCTATTTCACTGACTTTCCCTGACTGCTATGAGCTTCCCTGACTTTTCCCTGACTTTCCCTGACTTTCCAGAATGTGGACACCCTGATTAATTCCATTTTCGGATATTGATTTAAATCAGTGATTTATATAAAAAAAATCATGCAATAAAAATCGTGATTCAAATCAACTTGATTTAAATCATGCAACCCTGAGTAAAATGTTTTATTCCAGTCAGTGCAGTTGAAGAGAAGGAAGGTTTCCACTTAGACATTGAAGATTATCTCATTGGGCTACTGCAGCTCTGCTCAGAACTGGTAAGAAATGACGATGTTGGAACCAGAGTGATCTAAGTGACATTTTGGGCACAACAGTATATTTTCGAAAAATTTAAAAAAATGGTATGCCCTGACTTTGCAGACCACACCAATTTATATGTGAGATATGTTGTGATCAATCAATGAAGTTAGCACTGAAGAGCACTTACATAAGTGTAGTTTCTTATTGGTACCTCCTTATTGGTAAAAAAATTCATTTAGATCACTAGTTCTAACACCACTAAATTCTGGATTTATTTTTTATGTTGCAAAGGTATTTGTAAAATCATTTATTCTTATTTCCAAAACTTGGGTAAAAATTAAGAAAGAAATAAAAAACTCATTAAACTAATTTTATTTTTGCAATTAGGCTTTTGTAAAGCACTTACACGTCCTAGTATTAACCCTACCACTGCTTCGGGACAAGAAAAATGTTTGAAAATTATAAATAATTTGAAAAAATTTATAATTTTCAAATTAGTTTGAGATGCGACTCTTAACGCTAAAAATTAAATAACTAAGAAAAATGTTGTTTATCGTGATAGTTGTCCAACTCAAAAACATGATATTTCCAGTCTCGTCTAGCGGTGAACGCGGTGACGCGCGGCGACTACAACCGGCCGCTGCAGATCTCGCGATTCGTGATGGAGCTCAACGCCGGCTTCAGGTGAGCTCCTTATTTATTGTTTACTAGCTGACCCGGCGAACTTCGTACCGCCTTAGCGTAGAGATTTTCTTAATATTTTTTTCCGTAAGAACCATCCTTGGACTTCCACAAACATTCAGCCGTTCACACGTGATGCCGTGACAACGCGAAACGGGTTTAATTTTTATATATATAGACTAGAGTTCTTAAGTTCTTGAGAGCGGCCATGCACTGGATTGATCAACTGAAGAGCGCACTCAATGGTCTACTCCACGAGTGTACAAGAAAGGCTGCAATGCGGGAGGAATGGCGACGGATTGTGAAGCTTGCTACCAAACCATCACTCAGCTAAGAGTGTAGCGATGAAGAAGATAAGAAATACATTCTTTAGACATAGGCGAGACTTAGGTTGATTTATGACCGCTGTAAAAACTTTTTCTGTGAACATAACGAGGTACCCTAGGGCGATAAATACTGGACAAGTAAAATTCCAATTGACTAATTGACTTGAAATGAACAATTTGACACCATTCGCCAATAATTCGAAATCACAACTTTTCTAAAAAGACACTTAGTTCTAGTCTTAAAAACTTAATTAATTTTAAATTACCTGTAAATTACGATTTTTGGTCGCATTGTAATTGAAAAAAGTAGTTTATTTGAGTTGACAAAATAGTGACGTCACTTGCTTGTAGTGCCATACAAAATCTATGGGAGAGTTTCGTTTTGACAGTTTTAAAAAGTACGTCAATTGATTGGTGGTGTCAACATGTCTATTGAACACCTGCTGTTTAGTGTGTGCCTCATTATTATTTTGCACCTGGTGTTAAGTGTAAACGTCAATTTTAAACTATCCTTTTCTAACAGACTGTTAAATCTCAAGAACGACCACCTTCGCAAGCGGTTCGACGCTCTCAAGTACGACGTCAAAAAGATAGAGGAGGTTGTCTATGACCTGAGCATCCGCGGGATGTTACCAAAGACACAAGAAGACAAGCCTGAAGATGAAAAAAGCAACGAGGCTGCTTAAGCAAACTGTCAATTAATTAATTAAGGGCACGCTACTGGCTACAGCTGTTAGAGCTAAGTAGTTAAGATTAATAAGATTAAACTTTTTTTTTTCTGTTGAGTAAGTATTAAAAATTGCGCATCCAGGTCAAAAGTGATGTAACTCCAAAAATTTAAAAATCCAAGTAATTAAAATCCTAGAAGACAAGTAATAGTAATAAGATAAGTAACAAGAAATGCGTGTTGTGACTAAATAGAGCCAATATGGACAATGAACATGATTTCATTAATTATTCATATTTTGGAATTATGACTTTGTTGTTTATATGTGCACAATGACGAAACTAAAATAAGTTGTTTAGAAGAGTCATAATTTATATAAATACTCTCAAAGTACACTTTTTCTATTCTACATTGATTCACACATAAAAATAATTAATTGACTTGCTTTTTACCCGACTGCGCCAGAAGGAGGGTTGTTTTTCGAGTGTATGTATGTATATTTCTTTGGCACGGCCTACAGCCCAAACGGCTTCACCGATTTTTAGCGTGAGAGGTGTCGTTAGATTCGTCTTAATCATGAGAGTGACACTGGCTATATTAAAATTGAAAAAAAAAATGGCGGATTTTAGGCGCCATATTGTCTTATAATTTTTTTTTCTCACAACGTATCGAGTGGGGTATCAAAATAAAGGGCTTTTTAAGTAGCTTACAAAAATGTATGCTATTTAACTAAAAACAATTAAAATAAAATTATTATTGAATAAACAAAAAACCCAATTTAACCTGCGTTAATATAAAATAATTTTTACGCAGTTGGGTTTTTTATTTTGTTTATTCAATAATAATTACACATTCCATTGCATAATGTTTCCCAAAATATTTATTCTAAATATTTATTCTAACTGCTGTGGTCGGTAGAGTAGTATAGACCAGTGTGCGTGATTCATAGTATTACATAGCGCTCTAAGGGCTTGTATGTGATCCGTAGGATTCTATACCTTTACAAGGCAGTAGCCATCAAATAATAAATCTTATTGACTTGGAATATGGTTTAAATCAATATAACGATATTACGTACTACAACTTGTAGTTGTAGTACGTAATATCTTTTCAAACTTTAATAAGCTGCTATCTGAAAATATATATATTTTTAGCTATAAATACTTAGGTCTGAAATTGGCTATTATTAATAATTATTTATTTATGCTTTATTAATATGTAATTATTACATAGGTACCTGTCAGACAAATAAATACATTATTCTTTGCCTTGACTGACTTAAAAATGTTTAGCACTTAAATTATAAAATTGACAGATGGTTTATAGTAAGAAAAAATAGTCCCATAACCCATCCAACACAAAAACAGAACAATAGAATGCTGTGTTGTTTGCTATTAAGTATATTCAGTGTTAACATTTGGTCAAAATGAATAGTATTTGTTTGTGATTTTTTTTATTTAAAATATTTTAAGTCCACTTTTAGTACATACTTAATCCTAGACTACGCTAGCTCTAAATCAAAACTAAAATTAATTATTAAAAGAGAAGTTCTAATTCTGTAAGTTTTTTTTTAAATCTGCTGTGAATTTAAAATTTTCCAGTTGCACTATTGTCTTGAAGCAGTATTTTTTAACCGACTACGCCAGAAGGAGGGTTATGTTTTTTAATGAAGTATTTTTCTTTGGCAGGAAAAAAGTTTTGACATTATAACCATCTACAGGGTGTTAGGTAAATGGGTATATGAGCCGACACTAGCCCATGTTAACATGGTCACATAAATGGTATGGTGAAGTCAGAAATTTGATATCATCATTTTATTTTTTTTTAATTTTCATACAAAATAAATTTTATAAAATCCGATTTGTATGAAAATTAAAATATTTAAAATGATGATATAAATTTTCTGACTTCACCATACCATTTATATGCCCATGGGCTAGTGTCGGCTCATATACCCATTTACCTAACACTCTGTATAAAACGTTTTAATTCAGGGCATGGCTAGTCCTAGATTTTGCGTTCGTGGACCTCAGAAGAGACTGAAATCATAATGTGCTAGTTAAAGATTTATTTAAATTCGATTTTATTTAAAAGATATCTGTAAGTTTTGCACTTTAATACATTTATAATAAGTACATTGTTTGAAAATTTATAGTTAATTTTTTTTCATGGTCCTAATTTATTTTATAAAGACTGGATTCAAAAATTTTTATATTTCTCTTCTAACACTAGGTTTTTTTTAATACTACATACAAGTTACTTATGTAATGTGAAAGTGTTGTTGAAATAAATATAAGTTGTCACGTGTAAGTCCCTAAAAAGTGTTGATTTATAAGAAAATAAATGATTTTCTCTATTAATTGTTTTTATTGAGCCTCCTGTTATTTAATTTCTAAAGAATAAAACACATTTATGCATAGTCGAAGGTACAATTCGTCGCTGGCCTCTCTAACTGACATTTTGGAAAATTTTCAGGCGATTCGATTCGTCTTGCGAAATTGATTAAGATGGTGTAGGTAGATAACTCAGTTTCGAAAAAAATGGCAGATACGTCAGTTAGAGAGGCAAGCGACGAATTTTGTTGTAAAATCGCTCTAATTGTGGATTTTAAAGGGTAATAAATAAAACAAAAATATCCATAATCAACATTTACTTAAATCTAAAAGTACATCATAAAGTACCTGCATAAATATCACACACTCATCGTACACGATACACGTGTACAGATTCATACCTGCTTTCCAGTAATACAAAAGTTTCCTGCGCTTCCGAGCACAAGTATCCGTCAAGAAAAACTCAGTATAAATTAATAGTTACATTAACTTCTAAAAAGTCATCTAAACATTTATTAAATCTAGAAGATAAAGAATATTTCACTCTGAGTGAGACAAGTGAGTATGAGAAGAGTGAGTCACTCATTTGTCTCCCAGTGCGAAAAAAGGGACGAAGAATAGATAAAATAGAATAGAAGTCGTTCTTCAATAACTTTCAAGACTTCAAGATAAAAATATTGCCCTTAGATACACCCGTATGTACCTACTTATATCTCACTCGCTCTGAGTGAGACAAATGAGTGAATCACTCATTTGTCTCCCAATGCGTGTGAAAGAGGCGGACAATATTTTAGAAAATAGCAGATTTCAATTAAATTTAGTTTTCGATAATTTCAAGACTTAAGAAAAAAATATTGCCCTCAGAGACACACTCGCTCTGAGTGAGACAAATGAGTGAATCACTCATTTGTCTCCCAATGCGTGTGAAAGAGGCGGACAATATCTTAGAAAATAGCAGATTTCAATTAAATTTAGTTTTCGATTATTTCAAGACTTAAGAAAAAAACATTGCCCTTAGAGGTAACACTCGCTCTGAGTGAGACAAATGAGTGAATCACTCATTTGTCTCCCAATGCGTGTGAAAGAGACGGACAATCTTAGATAAGGAACTGCGTATTTCTCAACGGATACTGTGTACATTTTCCCATCCCTGTGTACTTACATAATTAGACACCAATTTTAAATAGACATTCATTAAGATAAAAATTGAGTTTGTAGTTAACTAATACTAAACGGCAATACTATACTATACGGTGGGTTATTTTATATTATGTTTAATATGAGTATCATCTTATTATTATGGTTGAGGGTCATAGCTTATTTCTGCCAAGATCAATGCCTGGTGAAGCCATTTTATACGGCAACTTAGACATAAGCGATGCAGTGGCGCTACTGTGGCACGACAGTGGCGCCACTATTGCGTCATGCGAGTGCATCTTTCGTAGTCATCATTTACGCCCGTTTCCCACATTCAATCCTTGTCCAAATCCGGATTGCAACTGTCAAATTTAAATCTGTTTTCGATCACATATCCACATTTTTTGATGCGGTTACAATTAAATATTCTTTAAAGTCTTATAAACAATATGAAAATGTAAAAACATCGAAAACCGTAGATATTTTCACCAAAAAATATTGAAATTTGACAGATGACGGACGGGTTTGGGTTACGATTGACTATAGAAAACCAGCATTAGTGAAGTGGTCAAGTCATTATTATGCTTGTTTGTCAGTAGTCTTGGTAGGAACGCCATTTTATATTTTTAAAGCGCTACATTGCATTAGCGTCCCAAATGATGGGATTCATAGGAAATAGTCACTAATTTTACCCTTTTCTTAACTTTTGTCAGTTTAACAGTTGTTAGTAAGTACTAAAAAATTAAAAAATCAGTTGCTTACTGAGAGCTCTATGCCCGTTTTCACCATCCATCCCTAATTTATAAGTGACCCCTATGAAAACAAAATTCCTTATGCTACCATAGGGGGTCACTTAAAAAATGTTTTGATAGTGAAAACGGGCATTAATCAACATGTATTTTGGTGTGACCGGGCCTTTAAAGCGATTGCTATTGATCAAAAATCCTTTCAAGCAAGCTGCGATCAATATTGCACCTTCCACCGATGTTTTTAGTTTCATTATTTAGTACTACAAAGTTTGGTTGGATATTTACTATGTATATAAAAAAGACATCAAAGAGATAGGTATTTAGAGAACTACGTAAATTTTAGTAAAATAAATGCAATGTTTACCTGTAGTACAATCTTACGCTAAAGTGAATATTTCTAAAATAATTTAAGTTGTATAAAAAATTATACAGGGTGTTTCTTGTAAGGTGTCAAGCCGAAGGCAGGTGATAGGTGAGGACTAGACCTATCGATTTCACCCCTATGTATGTTCTACGATTTTTCATAGTTTAGAAGTTATCGTTAATTTTGTGATTTTTTCAAATTGTATGACCCAGTAGGCTTTAAATTTTTTTATCTTTTTTTTGGGTCGACTTTTCTCAGATTTCTTTTTTTTGACAGATTCCCTATTAATTGCAGATTTTTGAAAAAAATAATCAACTTCCTATCTTTGATGCAAGATACAAAATTTTTGCTAGAAACATAAAAAATATGCTTTTAGCGGAACATTCTAAAATTTTCAACTTGAAGGTTTGAAAAAAAAAAGAACTTCCATAGGTCCAAAATAATTTTAAAAACTGCGCAGTTTTATGAACTTTTATAATAACACAAAAAAACATGTACTTAATAGGCCATTATTTTCTGTAATCGCTCCACTCAAAAACATGTAACGGAATCTCCGACTTACCACTTTAGTGGAGCGATTACAGAAAATAATGGCCTATTAAGTACATGTTTTTTTGTGTTATTATGAAAGTTCAGAAAACTGCGCAGTTTTTAAAATTATTTTGGACCTATGGAATTTCTTTTTTTTTTTTAACTTTTAAGTTGAAAATTTTAGGATGTTCCGCTAAAAACATATTTTTTTATGTTTCTAGCAAAAATTTTGTATTTTGCATCAAAGATAGGAAGTTGATCATTTTTTTCGAAAATCTGCAATTAATAGGGATTCTGTGAAAAAAAAGAAATCTGAGAAAAGTTGACCCAAAAAAAAGATAAAAAAATTTAAAGCCTACTGGGTCATACAATTTGAAAAAATCACAAAATTAACGATAACTTCTAAACTATGAAAAATCGTAGAACATACATGGGGGTGAAATCGATAGGTCTAGTCCTCACCTATCACCTGCCTTCGGCTTGACACCTTACAAGAAACACCCTGTATAGATCGTTCCATCTACGAAGACGCGCCCCACCATTCTTCCGCTAATGTTTGAGTGTTATCGGTACACGCTTAATTTATCCATTGAGTGCACACGTACACCACAATAATGCCGCTCGGATTGCTCGGATCAAACTCCCCGCAACCCGCGCGACCGAGACAATAAAGTGGTGGGGCGCGTCTTCGTGGATGAAACGATTTATAGTGTTTTAGAAATTTTATAATTGAGCGTGGTTAGAACTACTTGTAATTTAAAGGAATGTCAACAGAAAATAAACTACATATGTAGTAACATAATAAGATCGTATTTCGAAGCGTTCTTCATCCATCTTTATGGCTGTAATTTATAAAAATAATTTATTGCACAAAAAAAAAACAAGTAAATAAATTCCCCCATCAACTGAGGCAAACTAAATTTAGAAAAAGACTAAAATAAAATAATAAGTAAGTAGTAAAATAGGTATTTAAGATCTTAGCGACTAAAAAAACTTTTCCTTAAGCAGATGGAAAAAGAATGCTTCAAATAGGTCCATTTGTTATAAAAATGTCTTATTAAAATAGATTATGCTAAAGATATCCTTGTAACAAAAATATAACGTTTTCAAACAACTTAACATTGTAACAAACTTAATTTTAAACAGGAACTTCAAGCAAATACAAAACTGTCAATCAAAGACAAACATACCAGCGTCTCGTAAACATAAAAGTTTGTGAGTGACAGCGAATAGGGTTGTCTCTTACAGATCATTTATGTGTTGACTAACAAAAATATAATTATTTCCTAAAACTAAATTTTACGGATGATATTTAATCAAATCATGAATTAAATGTTAAATTTAATTAGATGCAAATTTAATTTCTTGTGTCCAATGTTTATTTATTCAAATTATAACAGAAAATGTAACGATTTTTGTAATATCATCCACCATAATGAAATTAAAAAAACTACAAAATTTTGAATCCATATTAGAAAACATGCATACCACTGAGGCTTTTAAAATATCAAATATCATCAAAATATCAAATAATATCAGTGCATAAATGCCTTTTTTGTATTTTCAGTTAGTTTTACATATTTTACGCCCGTAAGCAAAATTTTAAATTTTGAGATATCAAGAACATAAAATTGGAAATCAACTTTTAAAAGTAATGTAATTTTATAATTTATTTTAATTTTAAATTAAATAAGAGTGTCAAGGTTCCTAATAAGAATATACTTAAAAATACTTTTTAATATGGCACTAAGTAGTTTCAAAAATACTTTTTTATGTAGTTAGGCCTTTTGCTGTGCAAAATAAAAGATTTGTAGTGAAATGTCAAAATTTTCTAAAATTCAGTTAATATGCCCCAAAATATTATAGATAGATAGATACGATTTTAAAAATGTACCTAACTACACGTTGTAGAATTTCAAAATATATATCACTTTTAGTTTTATATAAAAAATATATATATTTTACAAAATACGTTTTTATTTGACACTGTAAAATAATGTCACCATTTCCAGTAAGTTTTAATTTTAAGTAAATATAAAATTTTGAGAAATTGAACATGATTTTTATTTTAAATGTAAAATCATGTTTGAAATATTTTTTTGCATTAAAAATGCAGGAATCCTAAAAACTAATGAAAAAATAAGTTTCAATACATAGTATCATATTCGGATGTTGGCGTATAATATTATGGTCTAAAGATGGTAACATTGACATCTAAACACCATTTAAACATCAAAAAGGTTGATATTATTTCAACCTACCTAAAAATTGTCATATTTCCCCCAAAAGATTTTAAACTTTATGCTTTTAACATAGGGTTCAAAATATGACATTTCTATCATTCTTTGGTTGTTGACTTACATTGTGTATGTATCAGCATTGATTTTGTATTGACTGTTGCAATATTGAGCAACATTGAGATCAATATTATTAAATAAATCACACTAATGACTTAGTTTCAGATCTTAAAAATAGTTTTATAAACTACACTAAACTAAATTGTAGGAAAAAAATACAAAATGTCACATTTGAAAGATATAGGTTCATTTGAATATAAAAAAAAGTTATCATAAAAGATACGTTAATGCGAATTTTAGTGCCAGTTACAACTTATTTTAAGTTATTAAAATTATCTATGTGTTACTATTATGTTTGCTATGTGTCTTCTTAAATAAAGTAAATTTAATATTTGGGCCACGCCCTTCCACTTTTTAGTGACTAGCTAAATAAATATCAGAGAATATTATTCCTGACAATTATTCTTGGGACTTATAATTACTACTTTGACCATTAAGCTAATGAGTGATGCCCGATTTCATCATCAATTCCTAATTTTTAAATTACCCCTATGAAAACAAAATTCGATAGGAATTTTTATTGTGTTACTATAGGGGTCACTTAATTAAAAATTAGAGATTGATGGTGAAAACGGATTGTATCATCAAACGCAAAGCTGTGTTCGAGTCAGTACAGTATTAAGACAGTATTTTTCAATAGATAACTCATGTTCTACATAAGTAAACTTCGAATTATTTTTTTGAAAAATAAATGTCTTAAACCGTAGTTATAAATGCACATATCCCAATAAATATAATGTAAAACATTGGTACAGTCAATACGGCTTGTAGCCTTCAAAATCAATGCTGAGACCTAACAATACTGGACTAGTGACTAGTTTAAACTCACAACTCCATGTAAATCTTAGACTGGGTTGCACCATCTTACTTCAACTACAACAAACTTCAAAACTCCATACAAAAACACCGTCGTTATAGTTACGGTTAAAGTTACGTGGTGCAACTCAACATTAATCTTTGGCGATCCTATTCCCACAATAAGTTGAATCTAAGCTTATCCATACCAGCGAAGATGCTGAAGTTATTGTCAGATATGTACTCAAAAGATTCCTCGTCTATTTCTAAAGAAATATTAACATACCCGGTGTTGTTTTGGACATCAATAACTCCCCACAAGTCCGTCTTCAAACCAGGATTGTAGTCTTCGACTGTAGCAAACAGCTTCTTCAAATTTAGATCCACATAGCTGTTGATCCTCGCAGACATTTTGTATTGTTTCTTTTTGTTTTTGTACAGATTTGTGATGTTGATTGTTTTCAAATTCATGTTGTTGGCAACACTCTCGACGAGAAATCTGGCGAATTCGTCATGACAACAGTATATGATGGCGCCATTTTTGATGCCAAGACATTCCAGTAGTGGTTTTTCCTTCTTTTTTTCTATGTGTTCGCACACCTTATTTTGGAAGGTCATTATCTCATCGATGCCAACTTCTTCTAAAGGATAGCTGTCTGGAGCGATCCCCAAGTATTTGATGGTGGTATTTATTTTGGTCTTTTTCTTATTGCCCTGGGACCCGTCCGAATCCGATCGCAGTCTTTTCGCACTGACATGGTCTTTTTCATCTAGATTGTCATCGGCTGCTTTTATAGCTTCCTTGAGCTCGTTAACATCTTTCTCGAATTCAGACTCGAAAGATGTGTTTGCGGTGCTGCATTCACCTTTAGCCTCTTTCTTAAAAGATTCATCGCTATCCGATATAACGATCACTTCTTGTCCAGTCTTACTGTCAACTTTGGCATCATTCTTATTATTTTTGGCTTGAGAGTCTTTCTCGATAGTTTGTTTGGACGTTCCAGGGATAGCACTGTCTTTATTGTCGATTTTGCCTTCCAATGAGCTGTTGGTGAAACGCGGTTGGTAAGCACCAGTTGTGGATGTCTTCTGGAATTTTAACAGTCTGAAACAAAGACGATAAGAGCGTAAATATAAATATTGACCAATAATTGAAGTAAGTAAAAATGGCACGTTTTCGCATAAGTCCCTAAATAAAAACAGATAAAAGAAAAACTTTTATTTTATTGTATTAAAACTTTGAAAATACCAGCAATTGCTCGGACTTTCTATAAGTTTTAACATATGTAAGTAATTTACAATATTACAAGTAAATTCAAACTCTTTAGTACCTACCCTCGAGACATTTTTAAGTCTATGTCTTATTCATAAACCAAAAAACGCAACTCTAGGTGTTTTCTGATCTTGGTGGTGCGTATTTTAAGCCCGTATTCACAAACATTAGATACTATGAGGTCTCACAGTGCGCGTGGACGCACAGGGTGACACACGAACCAATCACAGAGCTCTATTCAACGCTGTGCGTTTAATTTGCTGCTTCACTTAAGCAAGCATCGTTTGAAAATACGAGCGTTAGTGTGAAAAGAAAGAATGTAAAGCCTGGTCCGTGAGCACGTAGAATTTTGTCCAATGACCCCAAGCTACCCATCCTTATCGCTCGCGCGTAATTATATTGCTGTCGCGCTCGCACACTCACTGCGGGCGCCCGTCGCACAGTCGCGACAGCGATATAATTACGAGCGAGTGATAAGGATGGGTAGCTTGGGGTCATTGGACAAAATTCTACGTGCTCACGGACCAGACTATAACAAATTATACTCACTGGTTATTATTGGCGAACACTGCTTGCAGAACCAGCGTCGTCTCCTTCAGAACCTTCAGGATCTCAACCATGAGATGATTTTCAAAACAAGTGCTATGCGACCATCTTACCCTCGCATTAATTCCAATCACCATCTCATTGACGTATCCCACTTGCTTGCACGTTAAAATATAATCAAAGTTCAATTCTTTCTCTAGTTTATTTCCAGTGACCAAGTCTAGCACTGATGTTAGTAATATAATCCTATGGCCGATAGCTTTATTGCATTTGACAGTGTTTCGCGGGCCTAAATGTTTTCCTATGTCCATTATGATATCGGTGGTGATCAATTTGGCGTGGCGGTATTTGGAAGCCACTGATATGACGGTCTCAAGCGGCAAATATTGCTGATCGCATGTCTTCTGGGAGCTGGGTACGCCGTGTTTGGTGAAGCATATGGACCTGAAAGCAATTTGATTTAAGTATGTTGTACAAATGGTGAAACAGTCTTATTTAGTAGTGTTAGGGCCTTGCCACATTGGCGCCGCCGCTCCGCTTGCAATCCGCCAGTGTGGAAAGGCCCTTAGAAGTCTATAGCGGGTCATAATGTCAGGGATGTTAGAAGGCACACAAAAAAGTGTTGAGATCAATGTATAATACAAAACCTACTTTAAAATGTATCAAAAACACTATCGCCGCATAAAAAGCATTGATGTATACGATAGTTTCGACTAAACTATTGTAATTCGAATAAACGTATTAATTGTTAATGAAATAATGTTGATCAGTTCAATCTCTGCTTTTAGGTCCGATTTTAAGATTGAGCGTGCTCATCTTTTAATTTATGAACTTTTCATACTAATTTAAATTAAATCAAATAAATATCAATATCAATGTCGCAACCTTTGTCAAGGCCTTGGTCAAGTAGTTTTTAATACTTTTTAATCATATTTTATCAAGAAGTGACTGATCACAGACTGTAAAGTCCGGTCGAAATTATATTGCTGTCGCGCTCGCACACTCACTGCGGGCGCCCGTCGCACAGTCGCGACAGCAATATAATTACGCGCGAGCGATAAGGATGGGTGGCTTGGGGTCATTGGACGAAATTCTACGTGCTCGGCGACCGGACTATAGACTATTTTGAGAGAAATAGCTTACCTTTTGTCTCCTCCAATCACGCAGCCGACCTGCAAATCCGGCGCCGCCACCATTTCAGCCAGAATCTTCTTGAACGTCTCCTGTTGAACCTCGTCGTTGAACGTCTGCTGAGTCCGCGCCTCAATAGACTTCAGTACGCCCTTGAGAAAGGTGATGTCCTTCTTCCCCATCTTGAAAAGTAAACATTCCTTTTAATCAGTACTTACTAAATTACAATTCGTCAAATATTTTGCTCTCAAAAATCTAATCACAAATGTTTTATTCAATTTAGACCAATATTTTTGGCACTTATGAACGTCAAAATAAAAAAAAAAAAGGTAGCCCTTAAGGGGCACTTTACATGACTCCTTATCTTTTGGGCCCTACCAGCGCTTCGAGACTAACATAATGGCAAGTGCTGAAAAGAAACGCCGGAACAAACTCAGTAACCACTGTCTACCGGTTGATATAAATAAATTGAAATTCCGCGCATTCTTGTATGGTGTATCTTATAAGAAGGGCCTACAAAATAGCGAAGTATATTAAACAAGGCGGTGACGTGCTAATATCTAGACCATAAAGTTAATATACCTAGCGAAATATAAGAATAAAGAACTGAGCGAGCGAGATGTCACTAGCAGCAACACTGTGATAAAAAGAGATGCGTGACGCCGTCGCCGTCACGTCAAAAATAACAGTTTTTTTGCAACTATTTGACAGTTCGGAGGCAATTATTGGCACGCTGAAAAGAGCTCTGAGATTTTCTTGAATTTTATTTGAATGAATCGTGGATGTTTATGAAAATTATGAAAAATAGTGCTTCAGAAACGTGGTGACTGGTTCAGTGATTGATTAATGTACAAAACAGTGAAATAATCTTGACAACTGACACACAAATGACATCAGTGACGTCCTAAAGTCGGTTTCGTTTGACAGTTTGGAATATTATCTTTATGTTCTAAAGACCGGTCGCCGAGCACGTAGAATTTCGTCCAATGACACCAAATTTTGTTGCTGTCGCGCTCGCACACTCCCTGCAGCCGCCCGTCGCACAGTCGCGACAGCAATATAATTACGCGCGAGCGATAAGGATGGGTAGCTTGGGGTCATTGGACGAAATTGTACGTGCTCGGCGACCGGAATATCGACTTTTAAGATACTTTACCTTAGCAGAGTACACGACCACTCTCTCAATATATTCTTCGGTTATCAAATAATGGATGTGTCCCAATAAGTCCGCACGAAGATTCGGCGGCTTGTGGCAGTGGATAGTCTTCGCCAGTTTGGCTGGGGGCGGGGCTTGTGGCTTTGGGGGCGTGGCTTGAGGTGCTTTTGGGGGCGGGGCCTGTGGTTTTTGAGGCTTGGGCTCCTTTTTGGGCGCAACGTGGCCAAGACCAGCGTTTGATTTCTGTAAATAATACATAAAATGTGATTTAAAAAAACTATTTTAAGTTTTTATTGTTTAAAAATCATCCAGTAAAAAAAGCTACTATCTAAGCTTAAATGTGGTTTAACAAAACATTAATGACTTTTTAAAAATGTGCGATTGCTTCCAGTGGCGAAGTAATTATGTTGTACAACAATTCATCAATTTAAGTAATTCATTAACGTCAAATTGAATCTATCACGGATGATACTTTGTCATTGAATGTTACAACTAATTTACTACGAAACTGAACCTGCTACGAATGTTATTTTGTCGTTGAATGTAACATAAATACTGACCCGGTTCAGATCCGGCATGATGGGCTCCAATATGCCGTCGCCTCGCGTACCCAATGGGCCACCCTTCCAGCCCATTTGACGCATCATCCTGTAAATTCAAAGTTCATATTCAAATTCAAATAGTTTATTCAGTACACAGGCCCATTTTAGGGCAATTATACATGAACAAATACAGGGTGAATTTGTAATCAGTGCCCAAATCTCAGAATCAGTAACTTAATCGATTTAAGTAAAGAAAACTCATTTTTTGTCATATTAATTATATTTATAGCTGCGCGTGGTTTAAAACTTGCCTCACGTGGATAATTTGCTTCGTTCATAGAAAAATACGTACATACAGTTAACTGCAAAACTTAATAGACATAATGATGCGCGAAAATAAGCCTTATCCTTTAAAACTTAAGATATGGGCACCCGCGAATTAGATTTTCAATATAAATATATTAAATAAACTACCACGATTAAAAATAATTATAAAGTTGTATTGTTAAATTGTTCTATAGAGCTTATTAAAAAAAATGGATACTGTTTACAAAGTAGTCACCCTGTATAAAGAAATTCACAAAATTTTGTTGACTTGTCTACTTATATCTTTAAAGAACCATATTATTAGGATCTTAATGAACAAGATTTTTTATAAAAAACGAAGAAAAATTACGTTTTAAACCTTAAAGCAGTGTCGCTCCCTTTCCATGACACGCTGCACGAGTGAAAGAGACAGAAAAAGGTTAGCAATAATAATAATAAATGATTAAAGAAATAGTGGTCGGTACGATAACCACCGTCAAAATAAATGTAGTTTTTTACCTTGCAGTGACTTTGTCTTTCCGGGACCCGCTAGCGTGAGTGACAGACAGAGAGAAGTTATCAAGCAATAAATAAATAAAATAAACGATAAGCCTAGCCTAGCCTTCTGCGCCTAGCAGACCATCGACTTTTAGTTGGCCGATGGTTGGGTCGGGCAATTAATCAGTATGGAGATGTATGAAAGTGCGCACATTACACCGATTTGGTATCGGCCGATTCTTCATACAAATTACATAGAATCGGGCCCAACTACCAGCCAACTAAAAGTCGGTAATCTGCGCCCAGGATTAAAGAGATGGTAAAACCGTAACAGACAAAGTGGTCGGTACGCTAACCACCAAATCAGTTCAAAATAAGTTTTGTAAACATGTGTACCTTGGAGAGGCCTCGTTTCCCGATTTCACACTGGCATGAATGACAAAGACAGAAATAGGTTAGCAATAATACATAAATAATAAACGATTAAAGAAATAGTGGTAGGTAAGCTAACCACCGGTCCTGTTCGAAATAACTTTTGTACCTTGGAGCAGCCTCCTTTTCTTTCGATGACACGCTAGCATGAGTAACAGACAGAAATACGTTAGCAATACATAAATATTAAACGAATAAAGAAATAGTAGTAAAGCCTGGTCCGTGAGCTCGCACACTCACTGCGGGCGCGCGTCGCACAGTCGCGACAGCAATATAATTACACGCGAGCGATAAGGATGGGTAGCTTGGGGTCATTGGACAAAATTCTACGTGCTCACGGACCAGGCTTTAGTAACCGACAATGTGGTTGGTACTTTAACCACCGAAGTAGTTCGAAAAAGTATTGTAACTTTTTGTACCTTGGAGCAGCCTCCTGTTCTTTCGGTGATACGCTAGCATGAGTGAAAGAGATATAAATAGGTTAGAAAGGAATATACGTAATATGAATAGTGGTCTGTCTGTATATTAACCACCGGACTAGATATAAAAAAAAAATTGTAAAATTTTGTACCTTGGGGTTGTTGGGGTGGCCTTGTTATCTTTCGATGACGTGCTGGCATGAGCGACAGAGACAGATAGGTTAGCAAGTAATATAAAAATAATGAACTATAAAGAAATAGTGGTTAGTTAGCCCGGTCTCCGAGCACGTAGAATTTTGTCCAATGTGCGACTGTGCGACGGGCGCCCGCAGTGAGTGTGCGAGCGCGACAGCAACATAATTACGCGCGAGCGATAAGGATGGGTAGCTTGGGGTCATTGGACGAAATTCTACGTGCTCACAGACCAGACTATAGTTTAAATAGAATGTAGTTTTGTACCTTGGAGTTGGTTCATTTCGTTTCAACGACACGCTGGCATGAGTAAAAGAGACGGATATAGATTAGCAATACATAAAATGAGTCAAAATTATATTTAATTAAAAATAATACGAATATTTGACCCAGGCAACATCCAAATCCGTCATAGTGGTCCGGTAGCTAACCACCGGATCATATAATAAAAAACAAGTAAAATACTTTTAGGACTTACCTTGGCGTGGGCTCGCTTTCTTTAAAAGGCACGCTGGCATGAGTGAAAGAGACGGATAGAGGTTAGCATAATATATACTTAAAATATTTATATAATTTTAGTCAGATGCATTTAACGTTGAGGCAATCACCAACCACATATATCTAAACTTTTTTTTTGTGCATAACAAGGTTGGTATTTGACCATAATCGCACCTGATGTTAAGTGGGATGCAGTTTAGGATGGTACAGTCGCGGAATGAAAAGGTTCGTCACCTTAGTGTCGGTTTTCGCTTGCACTAGGTACTGTAAGAGTCAAACCTGCCAACATAACAGTGCACGAAACAGTGCTGCTAACATTTAAATAAATATGACGTTTGCTAACGAATAAGCCCCCCTAGACAAAACGCACTTTTTGATCGAATCGAAAATCGAATCCGTCAAAACTCCATACAAAAAAGGGGCTTTTCGACCACTTTGCGACTGGTTTGCGATTATAATTTGCACTTTGTCTAGACCCAAAGGTTTTGCTTGTTTATTTTTCTATCCCATCAGTGCAATGCAATGATGACATTGACCAATTGACAATAGTTTTTTTTATTTATTAGAAATAATAATGGCAGGTTGAACCAACAAGAAGGTTTTAGTTTATCAATCACAATAATCTCTTGACAAGATAAATCGTCAAACAACTTTGATCTGAATAATTTTGAACTTTACTGACGAACAGTTAAAGATTATTTTCTCTAACTCGAGATTATTCTGTAACATAGTTTCAAAAGGTAATATGTGCTCGCGATTCGTTGAAGGAATCAATTTGAAAACTGACGAACCTTTTCATTCCGTGACTGTACATATCTGCCCTGAAAGACAGCAGCAGGCAGCGAATTCCAGTCCCTAGTAGCTCGCTTTATAAAAGACTCATCGAAACGCTTAGTGCGAGCTGGTAAAATCTATACTATCTATACTAATATTATATGCGAAAGTAACTGTCTGTCTTGCTTTCAGGCCTAAATCACTGAACCAATTTTGATGAAATTTGACACAGATTTTGAGTCCCGGAAAAGGACATAGGATAGTTTTTATCCCGGTTTTTGAAACAGGGACGCGCGTGATAATGTTTTTCTGTGACAGACAAAATGCCACGCGGGCGAAGCCGCGGGCGGAAAGCTAGTGTAAATATGAATTAACATTTTAAGGCCAGGTTTCTGTATTGAGATTTTTAGCTTGAATGGGTTCATCCTTTACTAAAGCATGAACTTTGTAAGAGAAGTACATAATTTAGTAGAAGATAAAAGCACGCTCCAAGCAAAAGTCATAATAGGCTAGTTTCCTAAAAAAATTTTTTTAGTCCGTAATGTTTAATATTAAAAAATATTGGACACATATATTTTTATTTGTCAATCTAACAAATAATTACATAGTTATGGTGCGTTGAAGTTCCGCACGACGTCACAACGTGCGGCACTTTTTATGCACGCATTGACGTCACGGGCCTCTTCTTATGAACTTTGGCGCGCTTTATCTCTTTAAATTTTCATTACTTTGAAAAAGTGAAAAATACGTGTAGAGTATTTTTTGATAAGTTAACTGACGGACTAATTAAAACTCTTGCTTTTTGACCCAGGAAACATCCCTATTCCCGTGGGCTTTTGCTAACAGTCAATCGAGTTAGCAAAATAGTGACGTCATTGCCATACAAAATTAAAATGGCTGGTTGACTTGAATTCTGAGGAACGCTGGTTCGAATACCACCGCTGGACTATTAAGGACATTATGGTGAATCCACTCGTAACACAAGCACATTTAGCTTACCACGAGGGGTTACCAGGCTAAAAAACAGCACCCTTATTATTCGTTTCAGTGTTGCCATACCAAATACAGGGTGGAATTTTGTAATGGCCACCTGGATTTATCAAGTTTGTTAGAGAGATTTCATCCTTATAACCCAAACGACCAATGAAATAAAAATACAGGGTGTCATTTTTAAGAGATTTTAGTTGGTTCGATCCCCGGGTGTGGCAAGCAAATTTTTGAAAATCTATGAATGCAGTTCTATTTCTTTTCAAAAATAAAGGAATGATTTCTTTGAAAAAAAAAATTATATCTACAATATTAAGAGAATGTACTTTCCCTCCAGGTGGCATCACAAAATTCCACCCTGTATATTTAAAATAGAAAAAGCACAAACCTCATCGCCACATCGCTCTCCAAAGGCACCGACAGCGCTTCTATCAGCCTGGCCTTCCTCAGACCTAGACCTTTAGCTTCACTCCGATCCCTCTTAGTCTTCAAACTGTATACAGCAGCAGCAATTGACTTCCCACTTTTCATAGCACCTTCTGGCTCTATCCCATTGTCTATGCCCACCCCGGAATCCACAGAGTCCGATGCATTGTATAAGGTCGAGTTATCTGTGGACGCATTTTTGACAGTGACGCTCAAAGAAGTTTCTCTGCCTGTATTGTCTATGACCGGTTCTTTTTTTATGTTTGTATCATTTTTAATTTGAGCATTATTGCCGGCCAGGTTTGTAGCAGTGTTTTTTGTCACTTTTACATTAACATTGCTTGTTGAAGCTTGAGCATCACTCTTTTCGATTTTATTTGTTGACGCATTTGAAGTACTGGGTACAGCGTGGTCATCATGTTTTTCAACTTTATTGTTTATGGTCGGGGGTCTGTCTGCGACTTGCCAGCCCTCTGTGGTTCGGGCTCTATTTTGATTGGAGCTCTGAGCTGATGTTGAGCTAAAAATGATTTAATTTATTTAAAAAAATTAAAAACTGCAATGTTGTTAAACTTAATAAAAGAAGAAGAAGACTTTAATATTTATTCATTTACAAATAGTTTGGGATTTGGTATGAACTGTTCACGGTTGTTCAAAAAGTGATTGGTTCATAGCACGAGATTAAAACGAAAGCTTCTTTATTTGTACTTATGGCATAATTTATTGAATACAATAGACCAGTCTTTCTTAACCTGTGATCTGTGAGCATAGGTATGGGGGTCCGCGAGCATACAGGGTGATTTTGCAATCAGTATCCAATTTTTTTTAATAAGCTCTACGGAACAATTTAAAAATACAACAAAGTCACCCTGTATGTACTATGGGGATCCGCATCCTTATCTGTGGCCCATATAACAATCGTAAGTAAATGCCACCAAAAGTCTTGTAATCGAAATTTATTCCTGCTTTATTAAGGCGGTCTTTAAAATTGTGCTTAATTTTCTAAGGGGTCCGTGGACAAACAATGTTAAGAAACGCTGAAATAGACAATCTGTATCTATAAAAGCGAAAGGTCACTGACTGATTGACTGACTGACTCACTCATCACGAAATCTCAGAAACTACAAGTGCTAGGAGTCTCAAATTTTGCATGGGGGTTAATTTTAAAACGTAGGTGTTCACTAAGACGGGATTTTACAAAATTCAACCCCTAAGGGGGTAAATCGGGGTCCACGCGTACGAAGTCGGGGGCGGCCGCTAGTTTAAATTACAATTAAAATGGTTAAATACGAATACGTACGGCTGTTGAGAGCCAGATGGTCTTGGCACAATGTTTTCAGGAGCGTTAATATTTTGGCGGATTGGAGTGCTGTAAATTTTTTAATACATTAAAATAAATTAAAAGCTAAATAAATTAATTTTAGCCTAGGCGCAGACCACCGAATTTTAGTTGGCCAATAGTTGGGCACGATTCAAAATCAAAATACAAAATCAAAAATATTTATCCAGTTTAGACCACAAGTGGCACTTATGAACGTAATAATTATATTATAGAAAATAATAAAAAAAAGAAAAGGTAGCCCTTATGGGGCACTTTACATGTCTCCTTATCTTTTGGGCCCTACCAGCGATAGATTCTAATTTGTATGATGAATCGGCCGATACCAAGTCGGTAATGTGCGCACTTTCATACATCTCCATACTGATTAACTGCCCGACTAAAATATCGGCCGACGAAAAATCGGTGGTCTGCGCCTAGGCTTTGGCTAAGTTACACCATCTTTAAACGTCAAAAATCTGTCATACTCCATTCAAAAAGCACCGGTTATAGTTATTGTTACAGTTAAAATAAAATAAAGTGGTGCAACTCAGCCTGTTAAACAAAATAATCGAAAGCGTATGTGAAGTAATTAATTTGTATTTTTGCAGAGTTGTAACTTTTTATAATGGAAAAAGATTTATACAGGGTGTCCCAAAAACAATGCAAATATCGGTAGGCCTCCTCATGATCTCACTAATAACAAATTTTGACGTCAGTAAAAATATCACAGTTTTCAAGATTTTTCATTTTTCTAAAAATAAAAAAAACAAACATCTCGAAAACCGTAATATTTTTTTTTACCTGTTCAAAATTTTATATTAGAGAGACCATAGTGAGGCCTATCAATAGTTACAAGGTTATCCATTGTTTTTGGGACACTGTTTTTTTAATACAATAAATAGAAAATTAGGCCTGTCACAGCTCGCGCAACGAAAGTTAAGACGAACACAACTAACACTGATGCAATGAGGGTTTTCGCGAATGAAAGATCCGCTAGATGGCGGGACGTGGATGTGGGGTCTGACTGCTGCGTGATTGGTGGATTTTGACATATCTGTCAATGTCATGTCAAAAATAACCAATCATGCAGCATTTGGACCTCGCGTCTACGTATTGCCATCTGGCGGATTTTTCGTTCGCGAAAACCCTCATTGTACACAGTGTGCTTACCATGAGTTTACGTTAGGTGTGCTCGCTAGCGACTGCGTAAAAAATGACATTAAATGTATGACATATTATACAGCGCCCCTAGCGGCTACTTTCAAGAAATAAAATCTTCATAGATTTTTTTGACGTACTACTCGCTAGCGAGCACACATAACGTAAACTCATGGTAAACACACAGAACACACAAATCAGTCAGAATACGCAAGACGTCAACGCGACAAGCGTATACAGGGGGCGTAGTGCGAGTTTACGTCAAACGCATTCGATATCGACTGCGTAAAAGTGACATTAAATGTAAGACGGATTGTAAAGCGCCCCTAGCGGTTGACGAATGAAATATTAAATAATTTTGATTTTCCGCAACTCGCCGTAGGCTTGTGGTCCAAGTTGGTGAATTACTCCTTTCAAGAACTAAAATCTTCATATATTTCTTAACGCATGCGAATATATCGAATGTGTTTGACGTAAACTCACACTACGCCCCAGATACAAATCGTGGGTCGAATCACAAAATGGCGTAACTGATTTTTATAAATTTTACAGGAGCGTCATTTAAAGAAAATTTGAAGTATGGAAAAATGCATTTCGGACCCTTTTTAACTGTCAATAGTGGCTTCCTGACAAAGAATTCAGTTACGATCTTTTGTGAGGTTATAAAATACATGTTTTATAACATGGTGTGTTTAACTCAATATCACCATTTTGTTAACTACGCCTTTTCGTGATTCGACTCACGAAATCTTTGCTTGTGTTGATAGCTTCAACTCTCGCTGCGCGACCTACATTTCTATTTTTATTGGCCCTTGGCGACTTTAGATATAATTTTTTATTTAAAAAAAATACAAATGCTTATAAGTGTTAGTTATAAGAGTACCTATATTATTTATATGTTGTTAGTATGCCTTAATAAATAAAATAAAAGAAATAAAAATCAAAAAAATAAATACCTGCACGCGCTTGTACTAGTGCAATTACGTTCCTTTGGCACTTTACTTATACACACATTTCTGTAAAAAATAAAAATAAATGTGAATATGAATTTATGACTTAACGAAAAATACTGAAAGAAGTATCAGGGCCATATTATTCTTACTTTAGCGTTCTGTTCTGTTCGAGTCTAATGTATGCCAACTTCAAGTCGAACGGGCAAGTTCTCAAACCTGCTACAATCTTCCTTAACATCACCTTGCTCTCTTCTAGAAATGACGCGTGTAGCTTCTTATTCTTAGACCTTATAGAGGTCAGAATACGTTGCAAAAACGAACACTCCGCATCGTTGGCGTTTCTAAAGAGGATACTCCCATTTGCTTCCTCGTTGATGAACTCCCAAATCGTTTGCAGAGAGCCATGAATGAAAACCGGAGTGACTTCTTTTGGCGAGTTTTCTTTCCGCGCGTTTTTGTCTGGGCACCTGTTAAATGGCACAGATTGAGAACTCGAACTCGTGTTAAACACCCTGTATAGAAACCGAGAATTGTAAACTCTTTTTCAGAAATAATCATAAAACGATTTCTTTGTCTTTATTTGGGACAAATTTCAAATTTGTATTCTTAAAATTTTTAGTATACGCCCAATAATGACGTCCACTGCTGGACAAAGGCCTCCCCCAACATTGTCAACAGTGCGTGAACATAATTAAAAATAATAAATATAGGTCGCGCAGCGAGAATTGTGGCGACCAACACAAATATAATGTACTAGCTTTCCGCCCGCGGCTTCGCCCGCGTGGAATTTTGTCTGTCACAGAAAAACTTTATCGCGCGCGTCCCTGTTTCAAAAACCGGGATAAAAACTATCCTATGTTCATTCCCGGGACTCAAACTATCTCTATGCCAAATTTCATCAAAATCGGTTGCGAGGTTTAAGCGGGAAAGCGTAACAGACAGACAGACAGACAGACAGACAGAGTTACTTTCGCATTTATAATATTAGTTGGGATCTGTCTGTATACGCTCGCCGCGCTGCCATCTTGCGTAATCTGACTGACAAATACTTTCTGTCTCACTTGCACACATTTAGCAAGAGCGAGGTAGCTAATGTTCAAAATTTGAACTTGAAGAATTTCAACACAGAATACACACAACACACATGCATTACATTAGTGTGAGTAACGAGTTCGCCTCAACTTTCGCTGCGCGAACTATTATTATAGGTCTAGCGCTTAACTCAGTGCCTGAGGTATGGGAGCGGCACGTGAGCAGGGTTCGAAATTATCAAGATAATTACGCTCCATGATAATTATCGGATAATTATCAACAATTGTTTTATAAGAAATGTTACTTTATGTGTTTGGTTGCTGATTGTTGTCAAGTTATCCATCGCTGGTCGCATAAAGCTTGGAAAATAGATAAATATTATACCGCTAGATAACTAGTGATCATTGTGGAGCTAAATAAATAGGTTTTATAACTATCTACTACAATCTACATTGATTAGCGCCCACCACTAGACGCAAGAACGGAAATACACGTTCGAAAACTTCGAATACAGTTTATTTTCACGAGCGCATTTTTTTGTTATTATCAACCGATAATTATCCATCTGTTATTATCACGATAATTATCATGATAATTATCGAACCCTGCACGGGAGGGGTGACATTGACATATTATGACGTGACAGAGCATACAAATCTGAAGCACATTTGAAGTCTCGCTGACGTTTGACGCCCCATACACCCTTCCGTGCCGCTTCCATACTTTAGACACTGGCTGAGTTAAGTGCTACACTTATAAAAGTATAATTAAGTAGTTATACTCACTGTGCCTCACCCCTGTTGTTATTAAGCGGCACCTTTTCTAAATTAAGCCGGCTGAAATACAATTAAACACAATGTAATTGTTTGTAATGCAATAACGTGAAATATCGCTAAGAATTGATGGTTTTTAACTAAAAATTGTGGCAGAACATTATATTCTCTTTGGCACATAAAAATTAAAATGAAAACGTAATGCATAAGCTTTTAAAAAATTAGAGAGCAAAGCATAAGCTACAGGTATAGCTGAGTAGTTTTTTGCTGCAAAGAAGTTTAGGATGGGTGACAAGTGACGTAATGAATGATGGCATACATGTTTGAAGCACATCTGAAGTCTGACGTTTTGACGTAACTAACACCTATCCCTTACGAAAGAAATATATTCAGTTATGTGCTATATCTGTTCCTTCGTTGCAGCCAAATGACGTCCACTGCTGGACAAAGACCTCCCCCAAGGATTTCCATAATGACCGGTCCTGCGCTGCCCGCATCCAGGTTCTTTCCGCAACCTTCACCAGATCGTCCGTCCACTTAAAGAGGCCTATCGTTTTTAGTTCCAGAATGTCATCCTCTGTTGAACATAGGCCTCCCCCAAGGATTTCCACAACGACCGGTCCTGTGATGCTGTAGCCAAATCATCATCACCATTTCAGCCATAGGACGTCCACTGCTGAACATAGGCATCCCCAATGATTTCCACAATGGCCGGTTGGTAGCGGCATCCAGCGTTTTCCTGCTACCTTTATGAGGTCGTTGGTCCTCCTTGTCAGTGGACGTCCTAGTCCTACGCTACGCTACTCCAAAAACTTGCTGCCCCATCGGCCGTCAATTCTGCGTACTATGTGCCCTACCTAGCTAAATATTAATAAAAAAAACTTACACTTCATCCCCAGCCAGGTACAGAAAACTGACTTTGAACTCGTGGTTCTCATTAAAAACCTTCAGCGCTTTCTGCAACGGTACATACAAAGCCTTGCATTTCGGATCTTCCTCGCTATCAAGCTTCGCCTCTTGAATCAGTGAGTACACAAACTCCGCTTGATCTATGCTCATTTCTGGGAACTCTAGGCAGTCAGCAGTGTGGTCTTGAATGAATCTCAGTGTGAAGTCCACCCATTGGGACTTGAAAGAGTAGGACAACGGGTTGTCCGTAGTAGACCTGTCTGGTGGGTTTTGTCTGGCAGATTCTTTCGCCCTTTCCGATGTTGATGGGCGTTGGACTGGGCTGAAATACCATGTTGGTTAAGAACTTAAGATGTTGAACTTTCATTGTGTCCCAGATTCGTATTACGGTTCAAAATGTCTCAATCGATCCATGGCTTGAAATGTAGAAGTTATATTGGTTGAATTCGAATATTTAGATCTATCACAGGATAGAATTTGTATCTACGGGAGCTCACAAACGAGCGACAGTATATCGGCGACTGCTTGCGACTTAGGTCGGCGACAGTCACCGATAAATAATCACACGACAGATTTTCCAATTAGGCGACTGTCGCCAACGCATCGCGAATACCGCCGATGGTCGCCTACAGTCGCTGATGCATCGCGATTCTCCTCGAAAACGCGCAGTCACTAGTATAGTCAGAGTGTCAACATGTTAGACTGGTTTTAGTGCCACGCGGACCGTCCGGTGCGGACCCGCTCCGCACGGCCAATCTGTATGAACTTCTAGGGAGCGTTTTAGAGTAATGCGGTCCGGAGCAACCGCTCCGCTCCCTAGCAGTTCATACAGATCGGCTGTGCGGAGCAATCCGCACTGACAGTCCGCGGAGACTTTTACAGACAGTTCACTATCGCAAGCAGTCGCCGACATAATGTCACTCGTCGTCTGTGAGCTCTTTAAGCCTTTCTGACTTGTCGGCACGACATCAGCACGCTCGGCATACGTGGTACCGATAGCTTACCGAGCGCCTATATTTCAATGGAGCGTTCCTAATTATTGTGTCTGTGCCGCGCATGCCGCGCCAATCAGGAACGCTCTTAACTTAGGCCGTATACAAAAGAAAGCTGGAAACTTATAAGCGGCGCTTGACAGCGCTGGTAACCCGCGCAGGAAAATATATGAACGCGCGCCGATAAGCACTGAACGGCGCCGACAAGTTACAACACGCGCTGGTCAGCGCTGGACGCTGCCATATAAAATGCCATTCAACTTGCTTCCTTTGTGAACGAACCGACCAGCGCAGCGCTTGTCAGCGCTTATAGGTTTCCAGCTTTTTTTCTGTATACGGCCATAGAATCGAGTTTTTGTGATACTTGAACCAGGCGGTGATTGGCATAGAAAAGTTAATAATTAAGAAAACAATGCCACTTACCACATTCTTTGCAAATTGCTGACGACAGGCGAATCTGATAATCTATTATTCACAACCTTTCTATAAAGCAGTACACTAAAAAACAAAAACAATTAATTAAGCGTAAAATATAACAAAGACTCACTCGATGTGTATTTACTTACTTTTTATTAAAATTCGAGTTGACATAGCTGTGAACGACTATGAATTCGTCTTTATGATTGTCCAACGTTTCAATTATATCAACGGCCAGCGCTTTGGACTTCACATCGAGGTGGTTCAGAAGACTCCTCAGGTTTTGTGTGTCCTGTATCATTCGAACCAGGAAGGCATCGAGTTGGGGGGATATGTTCGGAAACCACAAGTCCCTTTTTGAGTTTTTTAGGAAAGATGCCACTGTTTCGAGGTAGTATGACAAGTGTTTTGGATCTATGAGTTGGATGAGCTGCGATAGCTGCATCGTTTTTGGATTGGGCTCTTCATCTTCTTTTCTGGATGGTTTAGAGACATTACAAGTTTTAAAAGAGGCGTTAAAAACTACCAGTAAGCAGAGTACCATGTACTTAACTCCATAATTTATTTATGTCATATTTAATGCCAAAATAAATAAAGCATTCTCAACCAGTTTACTTTTGGACTAAGCAGAAAAATTGTTTGGCAGTACTAGAAAGTAAAGGTAATCAAATCTGCTACATACATATACAATAAAATTATGATGACTTTTTTCAGAACCTAGGTATCTAAGATTTTTGTTTATAATTTGTTTTTGGAGATACTAAAAAACATAACATTTGTAATAAAAAATCTTACAGTCAGTTGACTTTGAAAACAGAATTTAAAGTGATATTATTATGGGTTAATAGAGTCTAAGTTCAATCCTCTATTTAATTACACAACACATACAATTCTGTTGGATGTCTTTTTATGCAGAAAAAGGCAGGTATTTCACTGCAATCACATGTGATGTTAAGTGAGATGCAGTCTAGGATGGTACATAATACATATCTGCCCTGTAAGTGCTTATTCACTCATTCTCACCTTGAAAAGGCAGAATAGTTTCAAGCTTTTTGATATTTTACACCCTGTATAATTTTAGATCTTCAGAGATACTTCACACATGATTATTACAGTAATAGACATAGATACATGCAATTATAACATAAAATCAGTGTACAATGCCAAAGAAGAATATCAAAACATTAGTTTGTTAAAATAAAAATCGCACCAAGCAAAAAGCAAAAAAAAATTTCTAAAAATAGTACAGAAAATACATCAATGCATAACTACAAATGTTCAATGTTTTGTAAAGATTCTCAATTCTCTTCAATATAAAGAAATAAGATCTATCTTTTTATCTTTAAAAAGATAGTTTGATATCCATCTTGATGACTATCAAATATTGATTATTTAATTTAATGGCTACATCATAAAGATCAGAGATTTTTCAATCACCTGTTGAACTTTGTTTCTAATAAACTGTACATTTAGCTTGCACAACTTTAGTAGTCTGATGATTGAAAAGAAGTGACTAAATAAAACAAGTATGCTTAGAATAATTACAGAATACCTCACAGAAGACTTGTTTGACCGCATATTAAACTTGCGCATAGCAAAACTTGACAAAAACACTGTATTATCTCGAAAAAATATCAAAACAGAATGGAAACCATTTTTTAACACAAATAGACTACAGTGAACGTTTGCAGATATTATAGGTAGATACTATGGCAATTCCGACTACATTCAAGTCACAAATCGATCGCAAGGATTGCACCGACTACGCATGATTGTTATAAATTGATAAGAAATCAATCATTTGCATCGCAGAGCGTTAAAAGTATTACGTACCTGTTGAAACTGCATCCCGCCACATTCATTTTGTCTTAATATCTGGATGGAGCAGCGTAGTTAACACAAAATGTAGATTAATGTTCAGAAAACATGATTAAAATTAACACAACTTTAAAATGCAATAGGTATTACATACTAAAACAAACTCGTACACTTATGTATTAGAGAATCACAGTCACTTTCATTATTAATGTTTTCTGAGTTTTTGTATTACTATACTAAAATGGAACTACAGAATTAAATTATCAGAGATTTTAATGAAAATCCCCGGGTAACGAGAAAATTACAAAAAACTACTGCCGTTTACCTGCAAAAGCGGGTGCTGAAAAAATTTATGACGTTTTGATTTTTTAATCAAAATTAACAAACTGGAAACATGTCAATTGACCAATGCTTTGTTGACAACAAAGCATTGGACTGTCACTGAGCTAGTATTAAAATCACTTGAACACTTCGTTTTTAGGACTTCGTTTATTTGAAGCTGTTTTGAGACTGCATTAAAGAAGATAACTTTATTTAACCCACATAAAGACCAATACTCATTGTTTGTTGAGAGCGGCAGAATGAGTCCATCCAAGATTTTTGTCTTGTTTAGGTTTAAACTTGACTGTGAAAAATATCACGTGATTTTCGTCAGGTTTCATATCGAAAATGGTAGATTTTTTTGTTTAATACTAGCAGCACCGGTTTGAAAACGTCAAAACACCGTCAAATTACAGTAGTTTTTGATGCAAATTTGTATTATTGTTTTTACAACCTAAAATCTAAATTCTGTATGATTAATTAAGTTATTTACCACAAAAATGTCTTTTGACGTCAACTGGAATATAGACCAGTACAGGGAAGAGCATGAAAGCGAAGAACACTGGCAGTTGCGGCGAGCTTTTATAGAGAGGTGGAAACAAGATTATCCTGAAGAAAGACTGGTTTGTTTGGCCAGAGTCTTCACAAATATGGAGTTCATGGGCTGCAGATATCCTAGTGAGCTCATGCACGAAGTTGCGGGGCTCTCACATGAGGTATGCTACCTTTATACTGACGATATCAAAACCTCAGTACTTGTTTTGACAAAGTTTGTTTTGGTATGAATTTATCAACGAAACTTGTTGCCGGTTACAGATAGCGCAATCTTACCGCAATTCAAAGAAAAACAAACTGCAAAGAACGTTTGTATCCGCTTCTACAGCTGCGGAAGACCGCGCGAAGGGAGTCAAACGTCAAGGTGGCGTGGTAACGGAAGGTCCACAGAGTAAATCTGCTAGAATTGAATTCGTAAGACCCGGCCAGGAAATACCGGACACTGAAACGAAAAACGATGAAAATGAAATTGAAAAACAGCCTGAAAAAGACAACACAGTTCAGGAGAAAGAGAAAACAACTGAACAAAATTACAGTAGCGAGTACTTACAGGAGTTGTTCCAAATGGAATGTTTAGACGTTAGATCATTTAGAGAGAGCATGTTCCAGACTCCTTTCGGGAGGATGGTGTTGATCATACGGCCGTGGGCTGGCCTTTTGAACAATATTCAAGGTAAAGTACATAGCTTTTATTCTTTGAATATTTTGAGTTACTATTATAAGTACTTCTAAAAAGACTGAAAATTGCTATGGATAGTTTTATATTTTATGCTTCCTTCTAACCCAAGCAAAAGACATGCAGTGTAAACTTTATAAAGTTCAACCATATCTCATCATTATGTAGCCAATAAATTACTTTGTACCTGTTGATGATAGCCGATGTAACAATTTGTTCAAATAAACTTTTATCATTTATTTATTATTTAACCTCTTTTCTATCCTCTACCATGTCCATTTAGTTATTTATAATTAGTTAAAATGTAAGATGTTTAAGTAGGTTTTTTCACAAGCAAACAAGGAAAAAAAGCCCCAACAATCTACATAATATTTCAGCCAGCTTCCAGTTGAGTGGTGTTGCAGTACAAAGCGCCTACGAGAATGGCGCTTACACAATGACCGTCAACGGAAAGGAGCTGGCTAAGTGGAAGGGAGAGTCCAAAGCCAACGCCCGGAGTCAAGTGGAAAAGATGGCTTGGGATGTAAGTTCAACAATTTTAATAGTTTCTAATAATTTAGAAAGCTAAGGCTAAGAACTCATGGCGCGATTTTCACCCGCGATCGCGGCGGTTGCGGGCCCGCAGCTTCTGTAGAATGCAGATACTTATGTAGAAACTAATGCACAACTCACGACGCGGTTTGCGCCCGCAGCGGGCGCGGTTGTATGCGGGTCCCGCGGCACCGGCGGGCAAATAGTAGAATCGCGCGGGCCGCGGTAACCGCAGCCTCGGTGGTTTCTGCCCGCGCGCTCTGCGATCGATCGGCGGGTGACCATTTTGTACCAGTGATTTAGGTAGAAGTAGACTTGAAAATCGCGCCGTGAGTTCTTAGCCTAATGGTTAAAATAATGGATAAAGGTTTATTTGAAAGTCCACTTTTTTAACAAAAATGAAAAAAATTGTGATGAGCTCATGCATGGTTAAAAATACAAGTTTATTGTTTCACTTTGAAAATTCTCATTATTAGAGTAAAAAAAGTTTTTTTAACTTTAATAATGGGGATTTTCAAATTCAAAATAGGCTCATAAAAAGCTCTTTTACAAGTCCCTACCAGTTTGGGTCAAGTCAGTTCAAGACAGCCAGTCAGTCTGGGGGCACGGCAGTGCCCCCACCAAGTCGAGCAAAAAAGCGGCACGGCCGTACCATCCTTTTCTCGAAGCAATTCAGGCCATTTTCGACTGCTTGTAACTTCGTTGTGGATAAAACTAGAAGGCTGAATTTTCATTAGCTATGCAGGCATTGTAATGACTTTGGGTAGGCACTTTTAATAATTTAGTCTAATTATTTTACAAATAGCTTTTGCCCGCGACTTCGTCCGCGGAGAAGTCGAAAACGTTCTCATACGATTTTTAAATGTTTTTAACGTTATTATCGAAATGTTTGAATACTTATAAAATATAAAAATCTTAAAGGTTAAATAAACATGAAAATAAAATTTTCTTATATTTTATGAATATGCAGCTCGGCCTTTGATCGGTGGTATTATCTTTTTACAACGAAATCGAAAACTACACCTACCGCAGTATTATTGGTAAACTTTTTTTTTATTTTCCTACGGGTGCTAGAATCACCAAGCTTCTAGCATGCCACTGGCCGTGGGAGAAGGAGCTCTTCCTCAAGACTACTCCCACTACCTCGAGGGCCTCCGCCAAAACTCTCGCGCGAAAATGAGTTTATGTACACAGCGCAAGCAGGTGCCCGCGGCATGAATTGACCGTCATGCATTACTATGCATTGTTAGGCGAGCGCACGCAGCGGGCACCCACTCCGAGGTTAAGCCCCTAGAGTATGATAGTCTTTAACATGACATGATTGTAAAAAAAATGCACTAATGAGTAATTAATATCAACTTTGAAGCAAATCACCACTAAAATAACTTTCTACCCCTTTTTAACATAGTTAGGGGGTGCATTTCACTAAAATACGAAACACATCTTCCATTAATTCTGTTATAGAATGCTTATGAATTGAACGAAGGAATCTCGTTATCCCATACAAACTTTGCCCCCCCTTTTTACCTCCTTAGGGGTAGAATTTTGGAAAATCCTTTCTTATCAGATGCTTACGTCTTACAAAGAACACACCGTCCAAGTTTCAGGTCTCTACGATCAGCGGAGATCCCATCAAAAACAATACTTGTCAAAAAAACCAAGTCTCGCAACTCAGTTGTTCTACGGTAAAAAGTTGTGAGATCCATGTAATACCAAGTCCAGGCCAGGAAATCTTTAACGTTTTACATAAATATATTGACTTGGCCATCGCATGAAAACACGTGTAAATTAAATTATTTAGTGCGATTTTGATTTGATTTTTTTTTTAATTTTGATTTTGATTTTGTATTTGTTTTGTATTCAGAAACTCCGCAAGCAAGCCATCAGCGTGTTGGTGAAGGAGCAGTATCTGGCTCAGGGCGAGCGCATCTCCATGAGCGAGGTGACGGCGCGCCCGGACATCTTCGGAGCGCCCATCGAGAANCTGAAGCTAGGGCTCCGCTAGCGAGCCAGCAGCGTCGCTACCAAGTATGTACTGAAGCTAGGGCTCCGCTAGCGAGCCAGCAGCGTCGCTACCAAGTATGTACTGAAGCTAGGGCTCCGCTAGCGAGCCAGCAGCGTCGCTACCAAGTATGTACTGAAGCTAGGGCTCCGCTAGCGAGCCAGCAGCGTGTTGGTGAAGGAGCAGTATCTGGCTCAGGGCGAGCGCATCTCCATGAGCGAGGTGACGGCGCGCCCGGACATCTTCGGAGCGCCCATCGAGAACAGCGTCGCTACCAAGTATGTCCAGTCTAAAGTCCGGTCGCCTAGCACGTTGAATTTCGTTCAATGGCTGTTGCGCTTTATTGCTGTTGCGCTCGCACAGCCCGTCGCACATTCGCGACAGCATAAGATAAGATAAGAATGGGTAACTTGGGGTCATTGGACGAAATTCTACGTGCTCGGCGACCGGACTTTAGTGGTTCCCAAACTGTGTAGTGTCGCGCAGCGAAAGTTAAGGTGGGCTGGTGGGCTGTTCGCACCAGACAGAGAGGAGACCGAGACGGGAGAAAGCACTTGTCAGTTAGGTAGGCTACGCATGACGTCAGCTCAGCGAGCGTATACAGAATGAACAGATGTTGTTCGCCCCATTTCTCGCTGCGCGACACAACTCTAACAACGGTAGAGACGAGATCTATGAGATTGTCCATGCAATCACATTGAGTCTTTATTTGTATAGAAGATTATTATTAAAATACATAGTAGGTACTTAAAAATAATATTGTAATCAGTGAGATTTTTATTAAATTTTTCTTATTTGGAAAAAACTTAGTAGATTTCGACTTGGTAAAACACATATTTCTAAAAACTGTGCTTAGTGCAAGTTTGTATTGAACGTCGTCAATCAGTCATCAGAGCATTAATAAATCCATGAAAATTTTTTTTTTCGCTTGACTTTTGGTGTATACTTGCTGTACGAGCACGATCGTACATTCTGCTGCACCGTCAGCATCGACCGCCGGTGATCGGCGCACACTTGCACTAAGCACACTGACTAAAGTTTTCATTTTGGTTGGTATAGTAGTATAATATGTTGGATCAGTAATTATAATAACATTCACGTCCACAGAATGATGAAGCTTATGGGTTGGAAAGGCGGCGGGCTAGGTGCAGACGCTCAAGGCATCGCCGAGCCCATCAAGCCCAACATGCAGCTGGTAAGTGTTAACTACCTGCTGGACGGACGATCATCGAATATGCATGATTTTATTTTGTTCATTGACCTAGGCATTCTCAAATCTTTATAACTCTTCTTCTTCTTCACAATAATCTCAAGGTGTCATTTATCATGTTATACCTAACAAACATTATAAAATATGACTAGGACCTTGTAGGAACCTTTTCAGCGCCACGTCAAATACAAAAGCCATCACTCTGACGCCACGCTTGTTAAATTATGATATCAATATAATAATTGTATTCATTACTGCCGTGTGGGGACGTCCTGTGGCTGAAATGATGATGATTCATTATTATTCAGTTTACATCTAGCCTATTACTGACATCATTTTTAAGGCGGATTAATCCGTCGTTGGCGTCAACCTGATGTACGCATGTATCCGTCATTGGCGTTGAAAAGGTTAAAGATATGCACAACTCATCTTCCTTGGAGGCTTCGTCAAAACTCAAGACGTCGAGCTGGAGACTACAGTTTAGTGCCTTTTTCCTGTCATGCGAATCATAAGACACAACATAAAAGTACACTACATTATTTTTTGATCATTAAACATCATTTCCCATGTATGAAATAATTAAATGCGGAACAGTTCCGTACGCGTGTAAAAATCCGCATCTCAGGAAAAGGCCGCTCTGCCTTGGTGGAAACCGTGTTGTTATCTTGTCGGCCATTTGGTGTAGTGGTTCGAAACGGACTACTATTCCGGAGGTTGTGGGTTCGATTCTCGCACAGTACAAACATTTGTGTGCATGAAAGTATTTGTTTGTATTGGACTGGGTGTTTTCTATGTGTAATATGTATGTATTTACAAAAAAAAAGGCTTTTAAGTATGTTTATATCCGTTGTCTAGTACCCATAGTACAAGCTTTGCTTAGTTTGGGACTAGAAGTACAGTGTAAAATGTCCAAGGATATTTATTTATTTATCTTTCAGGTGAACAGGGCCGGCCTAGGCAGCGGCTCGTCCGACACGCGTCAGCTACGCCGCGCGGCCCACGAGCTAATGCGACGCTACCTCGCCTCAGACACTTTAGACTTAGACCTGGTGTTCAGTTCGGAGTTCAGTAAGGACGAGCGCGCGACCCTACACCAGGCGGCGCAGCGCGCTGGGCTCCAGTCAAGGAGCTATGGCGCGGACAAAGACCGGTGGGTAGATAATTCAGTATCCAGCGTGGCCAAAAGTTGACAATACAACCTTATTTCAATTCCAAAAGACGTGTGCGAACTTATTGGTCACTTTGGGTGTCACAAACTATTTGACGCTAACCGCAAGTCGCGCAGCCAGAGTTGTAACGAACACGTACTCACACCAGCCACAGATCTACGATTTTTTTTCTAACCGAGGAAACATTTTACTGTAGCGCCCCCTCCCAGTGTTTGAGACAGGTTGCACGAGCGGCTATGGCGTGGACAGAAACAGGTGGGTGTACTTACTTGACCCCGGTTACAAAAAAGCGATATAGCGCCCCCTCCCAGCGTTAGAGACAGATGGGTGTACTGTGTGACACGAGCTAATGCGGCGTTTCCTCGCCTCAGACACTTTAGACTGAGACCTGGTGTTCAGTTCCGAGTTCAGTAAGGACGAGCGCGCGACCCTACACCAGGCGGCGCAGCGCGCTGGGCTCCAGTCAAGGAGCTATGGCGCGGACAAAGACAAGTGGGTGTTACAACTTGCGCAGCGAGAGTTGAAACGAAGCAGCCACAGATGTATGTATTTTTATAAACGGGGCAATATTTTACTGTAGCGCACTCTGCTTGCCAGCGTTTGAGACAGGTGGATGTACTATGACACGAGCAGCTATGGCGCTGATACGGACAGGTGGGTGGCTGTAGTGTCTTAAATAACTCTGGATCTGGACCTGGTGTTCAGGAGTTCAGCAAAGACTAGCGTCTACCTTCAGTTGCGGAGCTATGGCGTGGACAGAGACAGGTATAGGTCGCGCAGAGAGAGTTGAAGCGAACACGTACTCAAACTAGTCAGATCTACGATTTTTTTGTAACAATAAGCACCATAGCACCCCCTCCCAGCGTTAGAGACAGGTGGATGTACTGTGTGACACGAGCTCATGCGGCGCTACCTCGCCTCAGACACTTTAGACTTAGACCTGGTGTTCAGTTCCGAGTTCAGTAAGGACGAGCGCGCGACCCTACACCAGGCGGCGCAGCGCGCTGGGCTCCAGTCGCGGAGCTATGGCGCGGACAAAGACAGGTGGGTGTTACAACTTGCGCAGCGAGAGTTGAAACGAAGCAGCCACAGATGTATGTATTTTTATAAACGGGGCAATATTTTACTGTAGCGCACTCTGCCTGCCAGCATTAGAGACAGGTGGGTGTACTGTGTGACACGAGCTCATGCGGCGCTACCTCGCCTCAGACACCTTAGACTTAGACCTGGTGTTCAGTTCCGAGTTCAGTAAGGACGAGCGCGCGACCCTACACCAGGCGGCGCAGCGCGCTGGGCTCCAGTCAAGGAGCTATGGCGCGGACAAAGACAGGTGCGTGGTGCTAGTCTCGCAGCGAGAGTTGTGACGAAAACGTACTCACATCAGCCGAAAATCTAGCGATTTCCCAGGGTTTGAGACATGTGGGTGTACTAACTAATGACACGAGCAGCTATGGCGCGGGTAGAGACACGTGGGAGGTGCAAGTCTCGCAGCGAGAGTTGAGGCGAAAACGTACTCACATCAGCAAAAAATCTAGCGATTTCCCAGCGTTTGATACAAGTGGGTGTACTAATGACACGAGCAGCTATGGCGCGGATTGAGACAAGTGGGTGTACTGTGTGACACGAGCTCATGCGGCGTTTCCTCGCCTCCGACACCTTAGACTTGGACCTGGTGTTCAGTTCCGAGTTCAGTAAGGACGAGCGCGCGACCCTACACCAGGCGGCGCAGCGCGCTGGGCTCCAGTCGCGGAGCTATGGCGCGGACAAAGACAGGTGGGTGGTTCAAGTCTCGCAGCGAGAGTTGAGGCGAAAACGTACTTACATCAGCCAAAAATCTAGCGATTTCCCAGCGTTTGAGACAAGTGGGTGTACTAATGACACGAGCAGCTATAGAGACAGATGGGTGTACTGTGTGACACGAGCTCATGCGGCGCTACCTCGCCTCAGACACTTTACACTTAGACCTGGTGTTCAGTTCCGAGTTCAGTAAGGACGAGCGCGCGACCCTACACCAGGCGGCGCAGCGCGCTGGGCTCCAGTCAAAGAGCTATGGCGCGGACAAAGACAGGTGGGTAGATAATTCAGTGCCCAGCGTGGCCAAAAGTTGACAATACAACCTTATTCCAATTCCAAAAGACGTGTGCGAACTTATTGGTCACTTTGGGTGTCACAAACTATTTGACGCTAACCGCAAGTCGCGCAGCGAGAGTTGTAACGAACACGTACTCACACCAGCCACAGATCTACGTTTTTTTTCTAACCGAGAAAACATTTGAGACAGCTTGCACGACTGGCTATGGGGCAGACAGAGAAAGGTACAGGACAATAACTCGCGGCTTCGTTTCAATTGCCCCGGAGGACTCCGTCGGGTTAGTGGGTAGGCCCCGCCCTGGCGGGGAGAGTCCCACGTAACCCACTGACTGTCCCCATCGGCCAATGGGTATACGCAAAGTATTTCCCGACGCAATAAAAGAGCGAACCAGTTACAGATCTAAGATTTTTTCTAACTGGGGTAAATTTTTATTGTGTGTGGCGTTTGACCAAACTAAGTATTCCCCTCTTGTCCCCAGGTTCCTAGTGGTGAAGAAGAAGTTGGATCCCTTCTCCTTAGCGCGCGCCGTCATAGAAAAGGGCGGAGTCACACCCAAGTACAAAGTGTTCATACCCGCTGACTTGCAGTGGGAGAGATAGGCCATATCATTTGATAGGAATGTAGCCGTTAAGTCAACTAGCTGAGAGGCGATAATAGCCTAAAGGTGACGGGCCTAGGATTCGCGCCGCGATATATTTTTGTCGTGCTAATTTATCGATTTTACGCGATAAGCCCATACATTTGTCTAAAATGATCGATAAGATTTTATCACGGCGCGCATCCTAGGCCGGCTGATCTGCCTATCCCGATCGAGTTAACTGCGCATCTCGCTGGAATGCGACTCTCCTTCTCACTCACCCGCATACCTCCCCAGTGGCGGCGTAGCATGGGTTGGCACCCGGGGCGATCACCCCCCTCCCCCCGTCATAAGTCCTAAGGCACCCCCTGGTACACCCCCCAGGATTTTGGGGTTACCTACCGATTCAAAGACAATCGCAGATTTTCCATGCAGATGCGCCAGTGAGTACTGATCTGCGCGACTTGTGTCACCCCCTAATGCTTGGCACCCGGGGCGGACCGCCCCCACCGCCCCCCCCTAACGCCGCTACTGTACCTCCCCGCGTTCGCCCTGTCCGTACCAGAGCGTCGATGTGACGTCACGCCCGCCAGGTGCGCAGTAGCAGATCGTTCCATCCACGAAGACGCGCCCCCCAATTTTTGGTCTCGGTCGCGCGGGGTGCGGGGAGTTTGATCCGAGCAATCCGTAAGGCATTATTGTAGTGTGCGTGTGCACTCATGGATACTCAAACATTAGCGGAAAAATGTTGGGGCTAGGGTTGCCAGGTCCAAAAACACAAAAGCCGGACTCTGTGCTTCATTTGGCCGGACATTTTACCCTAAAAGCCGGACATGTGACAGGGGGTCATAGTCACGACACGAGTGAGTACGATCATCATCAGTTGCCCAACATCCTGATGCGTGCGCTTCGACTTTCGCCTGGTGCGGCAACCAAACAAAAAGCCTAAAGCCGGACCGGCCGGACAAGCCAATATTTGGCCGGACAAGACCGTAAAAAGCCAAACATGTCCGGCTAAAGCCGGACACCTGGCAACCCTAGTTGGGGCGCGTCTTCGTGGATGAAACGATCTATACCAGTGTACATAACAATATTTTGCAATCCTTCTGAACTTTATATTGTCATAAAGTTTCTAAATATAGTTTCTTATAAAAGTGATTATTTTGTGATCTACTTCTTGACCTTTACTACTTAAGGTTTATTTTGTATTTTCCTTTTAAAGGAGCGAGAAATGATGGTAAATGATTAACTACCATTGTAGAGATGTAAAATACATTTAAAAAATTAAGCAAAATACACATTATTTTCCATTAAATTTTTCTCGTTTTATTGAAACCTATGCCAACTGTTTTTTTTTTTTCAGAATTATGATGAAACGTTAGATGTAACAAAGCGATCACAAAACTGAATTTATCACTAGAATCATGGACCTCTAAAACTTGTATTATAGGTCTATGACTACAATGTTACATAGAGGCTAGTGGCTGCCTATTTTGAAAATACCACTGTCGTAGCTTTATTGTGATGCGAAACCAATTGCCTATGTAACAGAGATTGCGATCTGTTAGTTTTACAACTCACATTATCACTATCAGTCAATCTATTCGCAAAATAGTGCTCATAAAATCCAACTTTTCCGATGCCCGCATTTTATAGATTACATCTAACTGTCGATTTGTATTCTAATTCGATCCAAGATGATACGATCTCACAAAAATACGGGATCAATCGAATATGTCCTGTATAAAACCAGCAGCCAAAATCCTAAATTCATCACAAGTTGGAAAACATTCACGAAGTTCGTTCGGAGTTCCCGCCATTTTAACCTAACTTTTTAAAATGAAATCTAGTCTGGCTTACGTTTTAGCAGCATACTGCCTACTCTACGTTTTGGTGAAAGTAGATTGTTCGATTGTTAAGCCAAATAATATACCTAGAATTGGAAGGAGTGACGAAAGTGCTGGCCCGTTTGATCAAGAAATGGGTTATGTTATCAAAACGAACAAAAATATACCACGAATGGGCCGGAGGAACTATGATTCGGTGAGTATGACTGTTTAGCGCCACGTTAGAGTGTCTACAGGGTGTTACTTTTGTTAATCAAGAAATGCCGGTTATTTTTTTTTAATTAAAATATTTTGTTCAACAGGGCAATCGCAACGACATTCCAAAGTTCTATCAGTTGCCTGAAGAAGCATTTGAGCAATATGCAGGTAATAAAGATACCTCTTCTTTGCATTATTTTACTGAATTTAGTTCTATCTACTTGTTAATGTTATCTAGCTCAACTATTTATTTTAGAGAGCCGCCCCAGCTACAACCAAGAATATCTTGAAGGCATTTACGATAACCGCTTGGAAAACATGAAGAAATAAAAAGATGTTGATGTAGAGAGCTAAGTAATTGTTCTAAATAAACAGATAGGGACTGAAATACGGACTGGATTCTGCGAGTACTTCGACTCATTATACTTTATAACTTTTGTTTCGTCTTAACAGCGCACTGTGCTATATTGGAATTATACGCATTATAAAACTAATACGCTGTTTATTGATTAATTAATATATAGCCTGACCAGGAACATAAAAACCCTGGCATGGAGGCGCGTCAATTGCATTTGATAGTGCAACACTGAGTACAGTCGTACCTGTGTTAAATTAATAGGCTAACTTTATGTATCAGGATTCAGGATTACGGGCTAATTTGATATTTTCATAAATTAACGAAAATATATTATTATAGGTTACCTGATTTAAATAAATTAAATGAAACCATCAATCGAGCTAGTAGAATTTATTTAATTATTCATCAATAATCAAATTCAGAACTTGAATATTCAACTGCAATGTCTGCTCATGAACGCTTCAAACTCGGTACTTCTTTCCCAATCCCATAAAATTCAACACTTAGAAAGTGACAATTTTTTTAAAAATAGGTAGTTGAAACAAACCACAGCTAATTTTCATAGTGGACTGTACTATACGATAAATATGTCAATTGCGCACATTTAAAATAAAGTTTGTTTACACTTTGACAGCAATAGACTGACATGCAAGGTGACATGTCAATGAAGTTTTCAGTTACTGTTGCCATTAAAAGAAATTAGTACCATTAGTTTTCCGCAACATGGCGAGGGTTTTTATGTTCCTGGTCAGGCTATAATTTAATGTGCTGCAGTTATAGCCTGACCAGGAACATAAAAACCCTGGCATAGAGGCGCGTCAATTGCATTTGATAGTGCAACACTGAGTACAGTCGTACCTGTGTTAAATTAATAGGCTAACTTTATGTATCAGGATTCAGGATTACGGGCTAATTTGATATTTTCATAAATTAACGAAAAAACATTATTATAGGTAACTTGATTTTAATAAATTAAATGAAACCATCAATCGAGCTAGTAGATTTATTTTATTATTCATCAATAATCAAATTCAGAACTTGAATATTCAACTGCAATGTCTGCTTATGAACGCTTCAAACTCGGTACTTCTCTCCCAATCCTATAAAATTCAATTCTTAGAAAGTGACAAAATCTTTAAAATAGGTAGTTGAAACAAACCACAGCAAATTTTCATAGTGGACTGTACTATACGATAAACATGTCAGTCAATTTGACAACCTTTGTCGGAAACATTATTCAATGAAAATATTGTCCGAACCCTTAGCATTTCTCTTCGACAAATACTTTAACACATTGTGAACCACTTTTCTTTCACGACAATAATAGAACTGTTTTGCATTACCAGGGTGTCCACTGCAAATGTTCGAAAAAATTCCCTGACTTTTCCCTGACTTTCCCTGACAATTTTTTTAAAATTCCCTGACCAACTATGTATACAACGTGTCCCAAAATTCAAGGATAAGCCGACGCCACAGGATGGACATAGTCATGACTACTTTAGGAAAAATAAGGAAAAAAATCTATCTCAATTATTTTTTTACTTACACAATAAATTATGAAATTCAACGAAAATTGACACCCCTTATGATATATTACATTACCACGACCACAATTTTTCAATTATTCCTGGTTTTCTGTTTATATCGGCAACTTAAGTAGTGCTGCTGTTCACCCCAACTCTTAAAACCCCCAGAATCCTTGCAGTTTTTACACAAAAGTTAATCAAAATATTTTATTTCCTTAAAATTTTGAACGATTTTTACTTTCACTCCACTTT